AGAAACTAAACAAAATGACAATGATACATAAATTAAAAAGGACTACTAGCAGTTACTGACATGCCAGCTCCAGACTTCAATTAAAATGATTGAAAGATTATGTCTTCATCATACGAAAATCAAGTACAATCCCTCCCGTTAGTGGTTTAGTATTATACCATCATAAAATATATGAGAAGAACATACCCCGTATCATGCCAACAACTGGTTTTAGAATAAATGTGTTTATTTCCGATGCAAAGACCCTATGAGTGAATCAATATTAATACCAAAATATGCAATCCTTAATGACTATGTATTTAAGATTTTTTGTTAGTAGTTTTTTTTGTGCAGCGCGTTGTTCTTTTGAGTTAATATAGAAAAAAGAAGATGTGGTATGCATGATTGCAGTTGAGACAACTATCCACCAAAGTTCAAATGAATATAACAACGCCCAATGACTGAATTATATGTACATATAACGGTTGTTTATCCCTGTTCAGTTAAATCAAAATTTTACTGTAATTGCATGAAGCAAGAAATAAAACAATTGTTTCGGTATATGGAAAATACTTGGTAAGTAAGTTATCATATTAATTTATGGTTACGTTTTTCTCCCTAGTTTTATGACATTTGTACCTCGCACGAAATAGCAAATTGTAATTTCAAAAATTTATAATTGTTTTTTCTCTTTTGCATGTTTTACCTGGCTATACAAAACAAAAATTGAGAGCATATCATATTATCTTACATAATTGTGCATTACAGATGTTTTCTGGTATTAGTATTTCAATCTAATAAAAGGAGTTAAGGATTGTTTCTTTGTTTCTGCTAAAATCGTTAATGATTATTTAAGGTGGAAAAATGTAAAGATAACCATCAATTGGCAAACAACACACGATTACTATCAAATGATGATTTAACAAACTATAGTTTGCATTATAATATGTGTAAATAATGACCTGACACAGCGCATTATTTCATACCTTGAAGCTTTTTTCATTGTAACTTGGTATCGTCTTGTTTGTTTCTCAAATGAATGACATTTCATTTTGCAAGGAAAAACTGCATATAGGTATATAATTATGTGTATATCCAAAGTCAGGATCAATTTTTTCAGAGGTTGTTGTTGTTGTTGGTGTGTGTCATATTTGTTTTTCGTTGTTTAAGTTATTGTTCAAGAATACATCAGTGCATTGGTTTTCTAGTTTAAATGCCGTTGCAGAATAAATGGTACAAGTAATGTTATTACTACCACTGAGTCGAAACATTAGCTGGTAGACTGTTAGGCGTCTTATGTACCGTTTAATTTATTTCTAAATTTTTTTCAAAATATAATATTCGAATATCCACAATATTCATACATCTATTTAATTAAGAATCGGGAGATGTGTTATCTTATTTGCTGTTCTAAATACATAAATCGATTGAGAGAAAACAAATCCGGGTTACAAACTTAAACCGAGGGAAACACATCAACTATAAGAGGAAAACAACAAAACAACAGAAAAACTGAAGTGAACAAAAAACAAACGACAATGCAACACACACAGAAACGAACTGTTAGATCACAACTGCCATTTTCCTGACTTGGTACAGGACATTTTAAGAAAAAAATGGTGGGTTGAACAGGGTTTTGTGGCTTGCCAAACCTCGCGCTTTTATTGCAATGTTAAATGTAACACTAAAATGACAACATTACATGACAGGAATACAGTACAAATAAATGCAAGAACATTCAGGACAGAGAAATACACAAATAAACAATACAACAGTACATTTCGACATGCTAACATGCTAACCACAGAATAAAAACGAACATGAAAGAGGTTTATAATGACCTGACGGTACTTTTTCCAATCTATTTGAGACGGAGAACATTATTTTGGTCCTTTTTGCAAAAAGTTAATAACCTCTCGGCCTCGAACGATGGTGAGGTCCCCCGTAATGGCATGGTCATAGGGATCATATTCTATGATTCACAGTCTCAAGTTGAAAAAACCCAATATTTTCTATACGGACGTCCGGTGTAATGTAATCAAAAATTAACTTCTCCTGGTTTTTGTATGTTTACGAAATATAAGTTTGTTCTATGTTATTAACATAAGGAGGTATCACGTTTTGATGATAGAGTTTTGAAATATTTTAGATTATTTAATAAAATAATGCCCTCTGTTAATATATATAATTTTCAGAAAATGCCGTCTATGATCTTCAGGTTTATTGATACTCAACAGCAGCCTATGTGACAAAAAGCTGTTATTATACGTGTACATTTATAGAGTAGGCTTTGCCAAATGTTGAAATTTGAATGTGAATGTTTAAAATAGAATTCAAAAATAGAATGTAAAAACCGAAAATTGAAATATTGAATGTTTATAAACAACTTCTTCACCCATCCAAAAATCAGTTTTAGTGGATTTTGTAAAATGATTTGACGAAATATTGTATCAACTTTCATAAGAATTCGAGAAAGCATACCTGATAATTTAAAATATTGCAAAATTACTAAGCTTATAATGAGAAAAATCCAATTACACTGAGATGAATGATCTTAAAATCGTCCGAAAGGAATTTCATAGGGATGGATTGATGAAGGCATACTTGAGTAAGCGTTGAACATAGGAAAGAACTTTTTTTTTTATTAATGTGACATTGTCAAACGATTCAGGTGAAAGCAGAGTTATCACAAGAAATATGTTTTGGCAATTAAATTATATAACTCTTTAACAACTCTTAAAAAACTTAGAAGGAAAATTATCAAAATGAAAAAGGTAGATTTTTCAAAAGTGGTATAAGATATGATTTCGATAATTTAATTTAAAAAAAAATAAGTATGAATTTATTTGTGTTTTTTTTTCGAACATTAACAAGAATCGAAAATCAAAAACGGATTTATTATCAGCAGACAGCTTGGTTCAATGATATTAAAATAAACCAGAGAACTTCTTTGATACATTATTGACCTGGAAGATGATTCCTCATGTGATCATAATGTTAAGTCATTGAAAAAAATGTCACCTGGAAAGTGTTAACTAATTAAGGATCCAAGACCTACTCCGTCGACTGATTAAACTCTTAAAAATCATTCTTATACAGCATGTACAGGTTACTGACAAAACGGTAAATTTACATTTTTATTTTATTAATTATATATAATCAAACGCAACGATCGTCATTTTACTATTCCAAGTGCTATTTATATTCATTTATTTATATATCTATTCATATTTATATCAGGGACACTGGCAAATCGGCTGTTCTCGGAGGTCAGCTTGATAGTTTATTAGATATCGTCCACTCCCAAAACATTGATAATTTTAGGATTGAATGCATAGTTAATTGATTTCATTATAAAGAAATTTGGAATTCCTATAACCATTTACGTATGTTATAAATCAAATGTGAGTCAGTCCGTTGGGCATGATTTTGGCAGCTAATGTCATTTTAATCAAAACTTTACATTGTGTACAAATATCATATTTCGGTAAAGTATTCATGAGCTACCGAATGCCATATGCGGGATTGTTCAATAGATTGGCGATTTTGGTCACAAAGCTCTTTAAAGACTAATTTAAAAACAATAACAATTTAAAAGAGACGAATGACAGGACAGACTACAATGATATATATGATATTGATTGAATAATAATAAAAAGATAATTTTGAAAACGTAAATAATACTTTATAAGTAAGTGCGTCCGACGCGATTTTCTGGATTTCCCTTTATCAGGAATGCTATAATCTACACCTTTGAAAGTCAGGGAAGATGTGTAAATACGTAGAAACGTTAAACGTCATATGACCAAAAGGGACATAAAAATACCAAAATACCTGTAAGGTCATAACATGTCTGATAAAGTCGAAACTTCTTGATCTTTATAATTTGTTGATTTCTCATCGGAGAATTTTTCAAAAATGTTTAAGTTAAAGCAAGACATATGTTTTGGCAATCAAAGTCCCAATACTCTTCAACAACTGAAAACAAATTTATCAAAATAAAGACATGAATGCGGATATATGCTTTCGAATACTAAATTTTCAAATAGGAATATTTGAATTTCATAAAAAGTCATCGACTTCTTAGTTTCAAAATTTAAAGATAAATAATAATTCACACAGATTTTGAATAACAAAACCTGCACCAATGACTGTCGTCGCTTTAAGAGGCTTGAAGTAGCTTTAAATTGAATTTTTAATGTTGATCATCTAATATTGAAATCGAAAATCAAATATTAAGTTGAAATCGAATTTCATATATTGAACACTTAATGTTGAAGTCGAATTATGGATGTTATAAATTGAATATCTAAATATTAGTAAATTGTTGAAAATGGATTGTTCCTGTTTATAATTAATTTGCAAATGAAAAAAAGGAAAATCGATGAATGTTATGAATTGAAAATTATATAGATAACATATCTAATATTGAAACTAATCCTTGAATTATAACAAAAGAATTTTGTAGTTCAAAATTGATTTTTGAAATGGAGTTTGCAATCCAAAATAAAAGTTTATATTGTTCCTTTGATATCTTCCTAGACGGAATTCAATATGAATGCTAAATCTTAAGTTTAACTTTGAATATGGTATCCGGAATAAAACAAATGAATATTGGATACTGAATATTCAATGTCAAAATAGAATGCTTTCTTTAATCAGAAAATGAATGTTGAAGATTGGACATGGAATATTGAATTCTGATGAAGAATGTTAAAATCACGTGTTAAATGATTAATCATATATATTTATATACACATTATTTGAAATATTTATGCTAAATGAATATGAATATGAACTTCATAACATTCTTTTGTCATTAAATAATTGTCGTGTTATATATTTATAATACAGTAATTAGAAGAGAACAATTGAATTCTTTAAGTGAATTAAACAATGGACATTGTTTACTAAATTTCGCTTTGGAACGAGTATTTTATGTATTCAAAAAATTTGAATGTTATGATCGATCAATCAGATAAGGAGATATTGGATTATTGCATTTTTTTCAAATTGTTTGATATAAACTCTCCGTGCAGCTTTGTCGGTGACTTATGACACTGTTGGCATATTTTTATACCGTTTGATCTGATACCTCCTTAGTGAATGGTCAGTGAAAATGTTTGATGAAAAAAACTGTACTTAGACTGGTAAGAATAATGTTGTGTGAACACACTAAATGCATTTTATATATAAAACAACACGACTTTTTAAGACACCGAAAATGATTTCGCATATTGCTTCTTTGTGCAACATTGCTTGAAAGAGATTCACCAGGAGAGCAGAGAAATTCTTACCATACCAATGTAATGTTTTCTTATATAAAAAAAGGTATTTTCCTTATTTTCAAAATAAAAGGAGATGGTAAGTATACGCTAAGAACGTGTATGGAGACATCAGAAAACAAAAGATGGACAAATATATCTTGCTTGATTAGGATAATCATTAAGATAAGCAATGATATAAAATACAAACATCATCAGTGATAGTGTTTGATTTTGCATTAGTTAAAAAAATGAAACAAACTATTTTGTCTATGTTGTGTTTTGTAGACTGGTTTTTGTCTTATTTAAATACAATAAAAATTTAAAAGATGGACGAATGGCAGGACAGACGACAATGATATATATGATATTGATTGAATAATAATAAAAAGATAATTTTGAAAAAGTAAATAATACTTTATAAGTAAGTGCGTCCGACGCGATTTTATTGATACTCAACAGCAGCCTATGTGACAAAAAGCTGTTGTTATACGTGTACATTCATAGAGTAGGCTTTGCCAAATGTTGAAATTTGAACGTGAATGTTTAAAATAGAATTCAAAAATAGAATGTAAAAACCGAAAATTAAAATATTGAATGTTTATAAACAACTTCTTCACCCATCCAAAAATCAGTTTTAGTGGATTTTGTAAAATGATTTGACGAAATATTGTATCAACTTTCATAAGAATTCGAGAAAGCATACCTGATATTCTAAAATATTGCAACATTACTAAGCTTATAATGAGAAAAATCCAATTACACTGAAATGAATGATCTTAAAATGGTCCGAAAGGAATTTCATAGGGATGGATTGATGAAGGCATACTTGAGTAAGCGTTGAACATAGGAAAGAACTTTTTTTTAATAATTTGACATTGTCAAACGTTTCAGGTGAAAGCAGAGCTATCACAAGAAATATGTTTTGGCAATTAAATTATATAACTCTTTAACAACTCTTTAAAAACTTAAAGTAAATTATCAAAATGAAAAAGGTAGATTTTTCAAAAGTGGTATAAGATATGATTTCGATAATTTAATTTAAAAAAAAATAAATATGAATTTATTTGTGTTTTTTTTCGAACATTAACAAGAATCGAAAATCAAAAACGGATTTATTATCAGCAGACAGCTTGGTTCAATGATATTAAAATAAACCAGAGAACTTCTTTGATACATTATTGACCTGGAAGATGATTCCTCATGTGATCATAATGCTAAGTCATTGAAAAAAATGTCACCTGGAAAGTGTTAACTAATTAAGGATCCAAGACCTACTCCGTCGACTGATTAAACTCTTAAAAATCATTCTTATACAGCATGTACAGGTTACTGACAAAACGGTAAATTTACATTTTTATTTTATTAATTATATATAATCAAACGCAACGATCGTCATTTTACTATTCCAAGTGCTATTTATATTCATTTATTTATATATCTATTCATATTTATATCAGGGACACTGGCAAATCGGCTGTTCTCGGAGGTCAGCTTGATAGTTTATTAGATATCGTCCACTCCCAAAGCATTGATAAATTTAGGATTGAATGCATAGTTAATTGATTTCATTATAAAGAAATTTGGAATTCCTATAACCATTTATGTATGTTATAAATCAAATGTGAGTCAGTCCGTTGGGCATGATTTTGGCAGCTAATGTCATTTTAATCAAAACTTTACATTGTGTACAAATATTATATTTCGGTAAAGTATTCATGAGCTACCGAATGCCATATGCGGGATTGTTCAATAGATTGGCGATTTTGGTCACAAAGCTCTTTAAAGACTAATTTAAAAACAATAACAATTTAAAAGAGACAGGACAGACTACAATGATATATATGATATTGATTGAATAATAATAAAAAGATAATTTTGAAAACGTAAATAATACTTTATAAGTAAGTGCGTCCGACGCGATTTTCTGGATTTCCCTTTATCAGGAATGCTATAATCTACACCTTTGAAAGTCAGGGAAGATGTGTAAATACGTAGAAACGTTAAACGTCATATGACCAAAAGGGACATAAAAATACCAAAATACCTGTAAGGTCATAACATGTCTGATAAAGTCGAAACTTCTTGATCTTTATAATTTGTTGATTTCTCATCGGAGAATTTTTCAAAAATGTTTAAGTTAAAGCAAGACATATGTTTTGGCAATCAAAGTCCCAATACTCTTCAACAACTGAAAACAAATTTATCAAAATAAAGACATGAATGCGGATATATGCTTTCGAATACTAAATTTTCAAATAGGAATATTTGAATTTCATAAAAAGTCATCGACTTCTTAGTTTCAAAATTTAAAGATAAATAATAATTCACACAGATTTTGAATAACAAAACCTGCACCAATGACTGTCGTCGCTTTAAGAGGCTTGAAGTAGCTTTAAATTGAATTTTTAATGTTGATCAACTTATATTGAAATCAAAAATCAAATATTAAGTTGAAATCGAATTTCATATATTGAACACTTAATGTTGAAGTCGAATTATGGATGTTATAAATTGAATATCTAAATTTTAGTAAATTGTTGAAAATGGATTGTTCCTGTTTATAATTAATTTGCAAATGAAAAAAAGGAAAATCGATGAATGTTATGAATTGAAAATTATATAGATAACATTTCGAATATTGAAACTAATCCTTGAATTATAACAACAGAATTGTGTAGTTCAAAATTGATTTTTGAAATGCAGTTTGCAATCCAAAATAAAAGTTTACATTGTTCCTTTGATATCTTCCTAGACGGAATTCAATATGAATGCTAAATCTTAAGTTTAACTTTGAATATGGTATCCGGAATAAAACAAATGAAAATTGGATACTGAATATTCAATGTCAAAATAGAATGCTTTCTTTAATCAGAAAATGAATGTTGAAGATTGGACATGGAATATTGAATTCTGATGAAGAATGTTAAAATCACGTGTTAAATGATTAATCATATATATTTATATACACATTATTTGAAATATTTATGCTAAATGAATATGAATATGAACTTCATAACATTCTTTTGTCATTAAATAATTGTCGTGTTATATATTTATAATACAGTAATTAGAAGAGAACAATTGAATTCTTTAAGTGAATTAAACAATGGATATTGTTTACTAAGTTTCGCTTTGGAACGAGTATTTTATGTATTTAAAAAATTTGAATGTTATGATCGATCAATCAGATAAGGAGATATTGGATTATTGCATTTTTTTCAAATTGTTTGATATAAACTCTCCGTGCAGCTTTGTCGGAGACTTATGCCATATTTTATACCGTTTGATCTGATGCTTCCTTAGTGAATGGTCAGTGAATATATTTGATGAAAAAACTGTACTTAGACTGGTAAGAATAATGATGTTTGAATACACCAAATGAGATATATGTATAAAACAACATGATTTTAAATGATTCGAAAATGATTTCGTGTATTTAAAAATAAGAAGATGTTGTATTATTGCCAATGAGACAACTTTCCCCAAGAGACTAAATGACACAGAAATTAACAACAATAGGTCAGCGTACGGTCTTCAACAATGAGCAAAGCCCATACCGCATAGTCAGCTATAAAAGGCCCCGAAAATTTTTTTTTAAAACATTTCAAACGAGAAAAAAATAACAGCCTAATCTATGTACAAAATAATGAACGAAAAACAAATACCTTACACGGCAACAAACGACAACCACTGAATTACAGGCTCCTGACTTTCGACAGGCACATACAGAATGTGGCTGGATTAAACTAGTTTGTTGGAGCCAAACCATCCCCCCATTCCTAGAACAGTGGTGATTTGAGAAAACTTACTGGAAAGAGATTGACAAGGAGAGCCAAAAAATTATTACCATTACATTCTATGGTTTTCTTATTTAAAAAGAGTGTTTTCCTAATTTTCCAAATAAAAGGAGATGGTATGTAACCGCTAAAAATGCCTACAAAAACATCAGAAAACAAACGGCAAACATTTATAGTTTGCTTGATTAGTATAAACATTATCAAAAGCCATGATATTAATAAAATCGCATGAGTAATAATGGTTGATTTTGCACTAGTTAAACATATGAAACATAAACTATGTTGTCTATGTTGTGTTTTGTAGACTGGTGTTTTTCTTTTTGTCATTTTTCGTTTTTTGCAATTTCGTTATCAGTTTTTCTGCGACTTATTATAAAAAAGAAGAAGTGGTATGATTGACAATGGGACAACTCTCCACAAGAGGCCAAAATGACACAGAAATTAACAACTATAGGTCCCGTTTAAATATTTTGAATATTTTGGAAATAGTTTACACAGTTTGATTTAGAAGAAAAACCGACATGGTTATAAAATACAAACAAATACACCATTACTAACACGGTTCTATATTAATATTATTGTAATGGTTAGAAAAAACATCAAATAACACCATTACAAACTTAATCCCAATTTTATATTCTACTTTTAGAAATTTACATTTGACGTCACGTTTTGTGGCGTTGATACATTCACACTCGTGTAACGCACAGTTCATTATTCTATTGTGCTGTATTTGTGTTCTGTCGTAAATTAATTTTATGTGTTCGTTGTTATTCTGTGGTTTACATGTCGAAATGTACTATTATATTATTTATCTATGTATTTCTCTGTCCTGAATGTTCTTGCATTTATTTGTACTGTATTCCTGTCAGGTAATGTTGTCATTTTAGCGGTATTTTTAACATTGCAATGTAAGCGGGAGGTTTGGCTACCCATAAAACCATGTTCAACCCACCATTTTTCTTTTTTAAATGCAGGAATATGGCAGTTGTTATCACATAGTACGTTTCTATGTATGTTGTCGTTTGTTTTTGTAGCAGTTCGGTGTTTCTGTTGTTCCGTTTTGTTTCCTCTTATAGTTGATGTGTTTCCGTCAGTGTTGGTTTGTGACCCGGATTTGTTTCAGTTACATCGATTTATGACTATAGATCAGCGGTATATTACTATTGCCTTAATTGAATATTCCTTTGGTATCTTCCTCCTCTCCTTTATGATATTTATCTTTGAAATATCAAATTTACAAGTAAGAAGTAAAGAATTATAATAATAGAGCCTTGAATCGATGATAATGAACATACATTATTCTATTATATATTATGTACAATTATAATTATCACCATGATTTCATTTTAGATTTCATCATGCTAGGGATTAATTCAAACATTCTGTTTCTACTATTTGCAATTTGTGAACGTTTTCAATTCGGAGACGGAACTAGTAAGTTTTAATTATCGCAAATGTTAAACCTCAAATGTTCCTTTCAAAATTGAAAATTTCTCTATTTAGTTCATTTAGAATTTAGACGAATAATGAAATCATGAATTACAATGCTGCATGTGTTTATACGTTACTGACATTTCAGAGTGAGAGAGAATTGTTTATTACATTTCATAATCTTATAATTGCTAGTACATAAAAAAATCTAAAACCTGTTAATCATTTTAATGTTCATCTTCATTTGTTTGAAGTAAGTAAACGATTATACACAGAATTTCATATAGCATTTTATTATTTTCAAACAGTGGTTGATATGTGTATTTCAGAAATATATCAAAATAATTTACGTCACTAAGTTTGTTTTCAATGCTATTGAAAGTTCTCTTATTTCTAAGGACTGTGCATTGAGACAAAACATTTTTATCAGAATATAGAGTTGTTGCAATATGACATGAACAGATACTTCTTATAAAAAGCTTTTCAAAAAGTGAATAAACTTACTTAAGTTTCGTTACCTAACAAAAAAGATATAAATTTGAGCATTGTTGTATAAAAGCATATCTCCTACCATGTCGCAATTAAAAATCCGACTATGTTTTGTTGTCAGTGTGGTGGAATTTTATGCAACTGTCATACACATGAGAGGTTTAGCTGGCTATAAAACCAGGTTTGATGCACCATTTTCTGCATGAAGAATTGCCTGTACCAAGTCAGGAATATGACAGTTGTTTTCCATTCGTTTGATGTGTTTGAGCATTTGGTTTGGCCGTTTGATAGGGGACTTTCCGATTTGGGTTTTCCTTAGAGTTCGATATTTTTGATATTCTGCTTTATCCATATTCGAATTGCTACGGTTTAGTATAAAACACGTATACATGGACTCTATATAAAGAAAATCCTTCATTTCATCAACATTTTCAGAAATGTACTGCTATTGAATTACTCTACTCCAAAACAGCCTTTCCGTATGCAGTGTCCAAAATCCATAACACCTCTCGTTAGAACTACGACAACAGCACAGTGCAAGTGCTAGGGAAAACCCGAGATGGAAGAAAATGTAAACATACGTGGAAGGTAGATAGTATTATTTGATTCCAAAAGAAAAATGTTAATACACAAACTTATTTTTTAACTGTTTTTACAATTTTGTTTTACCAAATTGGAACAAATGGAAAATATAAACATCGCTCTATCATCTAACTTATTGTGCACGTGCTCTATCATTCTTTGTTGGTTGTTTCTCAATGTCACGATCGGCAATCTTCGGCACTTAACCCCGAAAGTTAATAAGCAGCCAAAGTTTTTAATCATCATCATGTATTATATATAAGAATGTAAAAAACAAAACATGCATAGAGGACTAAGTTTAGTATTATGGTTGCTTAGACTTTTAAAAGATTGTCATACTTCTTTACAGGTTCGATTAAAAGTTTTTCAGTTGAAATTAACAACATAAAGCTAAAAGATTCGACAGATATTCATCAAATATACTTAAAGGCAGGACAACATGAAGGAAAATCAAGTATTATTAGTGCCAAACCTTTGCCAGACATAAAGCTTGAAGGTCATATTCTGCAAAATGGCCAAGTAATTCCGGATAATATCATAACATTTCAAGATATAATCCATGTTAACATTCAAAGTGATGCTGGCTGCAGTTCTGAATGTGAATATACAGTCATGATAAGGTTTAATATCATGATAACGGAAAAATATGATGGATCACAATTGGTTTTGTTCATTGAAAAAAAAACCCATTGGTATGAAAAAGTTATGTGTATATTAGAAGTTATAACAGGTAAAGTTTTAAAAATTCTAAGTCTTTAGCATCTTATCCGTTCATGGTACTTGAAAATATCTGCTTTATGCTAAAAATGTCAGTACGAAGATGAAAATTCACAACATAACTCTTGTACGGGCATACTATGGGCGCGTTCACCCAAAGGAAGCTGCAGTATATTATTCATTTTGAAGTACGTCAAATCTGGGAAAGAAGGGGTTGGAAGCTGTACATACTAGGGATATATTTTGACATTTCAGCACCATTCGGGCATGGTATTTCTTCACTGAGGTAATAAAGGGTTACCATATATATCATCAGGTATACATACAAATGTACAGGGTATTTGTCTTTCTCAGTACGTGTTGATTTTATTTTCAGTGTGATTCTTTTGAAACCCAGTTTGCAAATCGTTCGGAAAAAATGATCTAAACTGAGGTTGGAGTCGCAATGCGGGTGCTACATACAAAGCAGGAGAAGCTTACCTATCGACGACCCAGGCTAGTTCCCTTTGAGGTTCATGTGATCCTTGCATTGGTTAAACATAGTTTTAAAGAGAAAGGCTTGTCACTATTACTTTATTATTTGTAGTTCATAATGAAAGTGTTAAGCTTCACTTCTGAACATGCAACCGTTTTTGATATGACATTGTTTAAATATATTTTTTCTATAGCCTTGTGTTCTGCTTAATCGGTGCAATTCTTCTTTAACAATAATAGCATTGAATTGGATGTGTTTTATAATAAATCTTTATCATACATTTCATATTGAACCTTTTCCCCCTTTTGATCGAGACTGAAACGGTCAGCGTAGAGTATTTTTAAATATAGCTGAAATTCACTTTATGTTAATGTGCTACTCAAAAGGAAAGAACTTGTTCAGAGATAGCGATTGTGTCCATATGGGTTTTGGTGCAAAAATATAATCTTTATTAGTCTGCAAAATTTGTATAATATTGACCATGTAACTTAGAGCTTGACATATGATATGAACAGTGGACTTTTGTTGAAGACCTAAAGGTAACGTTTTTTTATTATATTTTGTTGTTATGTAGCTGTGATATATCCATTTATATCACAAGTCTTTTTATTCATTCTAACATGAATATTTCAATTAATATTTAAAACGTTTTTTCGTCCTCAACTAAATGCAATATACCAAAAATCCTAATATGTTTAGATGAACAAAGGATTAAAGCTTCACAAATACGGTATTAACACATTTCAAAGCTTACTGGAAATAATTATACTACAAAAAACCCGAATGAAAATGATTTCGAAATTAAGCGGTAAACAGACCAAGTATACACTTATGGCAAAAATTACACCAAAATGTGCGCACATTATTTTAGTACAATGAGGTTGCGTACAAATAAAACAAAAACCTGAAAGTGCTAGTGAAATATATTACTAATACATTGCATCTGGTTACTAGAATGTTGGACTTATTATGAATACATCCATATGTTACACACATTTTGCTATTTTATATTTCAACCTTGGAAATACGTAAGCTTGCTGCACATTTAAGGTCAGTCCGTTTTTCCTTTGTTTTTGAAATACTTTTTTCGTGGAAAGACGGTTGCACAATTTCTTATCTTTTTTTATGAACATAATACGTGCTTTGCTTCTGTTGACAATAATATCGTTGTATCATTCACTGATTGTTTTTTAAGTGCCATCATCAAAAAGAGGTTGTCAAAAATTCGTCAATTTCAAATTCCCTATACGATCCCAATAATGACTTTTATCACTTGTTAGAAAAAATACTTCTGATACTTTTTAATTTTTATACTAACCAGAATTCAATAAAATATCGTTAAAGAGTACAGGGTGTACAATAAATATTAATAAAACGTTTTAAAATTGAAACGTGAACAATGTTTTAGGAGTGGTAATTATCAGTATGGAAGAACGATTAAATAGTGAACTTTTTGTCAAGTATTTTCTACCATTGTTTTATTTAAATGATATAAACATTGTTTAAAAGAAGATCAATTTCAAATGCTAAACTGTTACTATTTGTGTGCATAAATGCAATTGCAATATCTGGTATTAAAATCTCAATAATTGTATTATAAAAATGATATAAACCACTATAAAACCATTTTGATTAAGAACACCATATGGATCCGATCTATGCTCACAACACTTGTTTCTGAAATAACCTTCATCAGTTAAACTCGACACTTTATATGGTGAAAGTCAAAAATTAAATATATAATTATTCATACTCAGGACAAGAAGGTCTTCCCCGCGGTTCATTTAAATTATTCAAGACACACTAAAGAGCATAATAAATTGCCTGAGGTCGATTCAGACTTTATTAGAAGAAAAGTCATTAAAAATGTTTTTGTGCAGAGATACAAAAATATTAACGAAAATGAATGCGTGGTAATTTCTACATCATACTGAGATTTGCAAATAAAAGAACCCATTTAATAATTCCAAACATGAATACTTCAAGTATATACAACGTAACAAAGTTATTCAAATTCTAATAGAATGAAAATATATAATATCAAAAGTTTTATAGAATATTAGATGAAACAAATTTAAAATATTTATCAAATATCCTCGATTCAAAACTCTAAAACATAACCGTTCATTTCATCAGAAATTGATCCCAACACTATTTAAATCCTCATATCGAGTACGTGTATTATTTTGTTCTGTTTATAAGAAGGATATGTAATTTTTGTAAAGGAAAGAGCATGTTATTTTTTTGATTGAAAGGATCATGTTATGTTTTTCAATTGAAAAGATCATGATTATTTTTAAAAGATCATGATTATTTTTAAAAGAGCATGTTATTACCCCCCCCCCCCCCTCCCCCACTTAACGCTTAATATTCATGATGTTGAATTCAGAGGATCAGTTATAACCTGTAACTTTCATTATGCAATCGTCATTTGATTATAATGCAATGCACTTTATTTTTATTTTTATGACGTTGGATTAATCCTGATAAGTCTTAAATCACCAGCCTATCAGTCAGCACTTCTGTGTTGACATGGATTATCATTGACATAGTCATAATTATAAATTATTAAACTGTTTACAAAAAACTTAGTATTTTCTACCTCAGGAATAGATTAAGTTATCGGTATTTGGCAAAACCTTTCGGAATTTTGGGTTCCCAATGCTCTTCAATTTCGTACATTTTTTGCCTTTTTAACTTCTTTCTTCGAGCGTCACTGATAAGTCTTTTAAAGACGAGACGTGCGTCTAGCATACAATATTTCAATCCTGGTATCTATGTTGAGTTCGATAATACACAAAAGGATTAATGAAAATAGTGGAAACCATTTGATATTATTGACAAGTGAACAAATTGTCGTGGAAAAAACGAAAATCAAAATGAAGATATATCACTGACACTAAAAAGAGGACATGCCTAATCAAATTGTGCATAACGCTGTTGAAAAGAGGCACCAAGACAAGGAAAAGCCACGACGCCGCAACTTTCTATTTTGCTGGGACCAGTATCTTTCATACGACGCAAATATGTTTAAATTCCAGATAAAACAACTTTCATTGTCTTTAATAGATAAATAAATGCATAGTTGTCTAGGTTAAAATTCCGAATTATTCAAAGATTAAAATATTTTTGAATCAAGCGTCGCTGATAAGTCTTGTGTAGACGAAACGCGTGTCTGGCGTATAAAATTTGACTCCTGGTATCTATGATAAGTTTATTTAGAATAACTGGTTCGATGCCACTGTTGATGGAGATTTTCTACCCGATGCTATCACTAGCCCAGTAGTCAGCAGTTATGTGTTGACATGCATTATCATTGATATGGTAAAATTTATAAATTAACTGTTAACAAAACTTTAACTTTTTCTTTTTCTTAATACTTAGGATTTTCTTATTATCTAAGCTGTATTTAACGAAGGCTTGTGTAATTTTGGATCCATTGTGCTCTTCAACTTCGTTTTTTTTTTGGCTTTTCAAAACCTTTTTGGTTCCAGCGTCACTAATGGGTCTTTTGAAAACGTGCGACTGGCGTATAAAACATAAAATCTTGTATTTATGATGAGTTGTTTTGTTATACCATTCAAGATACAATTGTGGTTGTGAAATCCTTTTATAATAATTATGTAGAAGGAGCGGTATTTTGAACTGTGAAAACTAGTGATGCATACACTATTTTGTTTCAAAAATGACCATAAAAATTTTACGAAACACACGTAAACGAATGGATATTTACAGTGCCAAGAACAGATGGAAAATGACATGAAAATATCTACGTAGTTTCAGTTTATAACAAGATCATATAAAACAAACATATTTGAAAGATTTGTTCAACCTTTTTATAAATTTTTTGATGAAAGATTACTAATATCAGAATATTTTTCAAAAATGTTTCCTAATCTAGGGAGGTGCCATACAGTACCAGAACGATGTATAAGATTCAGTGTGACAACAACTTGTCACTGTTATTGAGTGTAGCTATAAATATATTAAAATGGTAAGGTAGCAAAAATGATAAACGGTACATCTAACATACAAATACCTGATTACTATCTACATTACAGATCCTTATTGTAGTTTTTTTACTTATTTGCAGTTGAATGGTATCTTATCAATGAAGCTCCTGTCGTTTTTGGGGAAACAATAAAATTAGAATGCAGAGTAGGCGGTATAAGATACCTACAACCAGACACACTTTGGATATGGACAATAGACAATGACGAGCAGATTTATTACCAACAAACAACAAGGAACACGAAATATGAAAATTGTGGATCGTTATCACGTACATTTAATTTGTGCATTCATAACTTTTCTGAAGTAGACCTAGGGATCAATATAAAATGTGCATATGGATTTCGATCTTATGAACAGAAAATAAATCTTTATAATGAAAAATATGAATGTAAGTTGACTTGTTTCTTTACATTATAATGTCAATACCAACGCCGTACGGTATTCTTTTAAGATTCGTGATCAGATAGCGTATAAACACCTGGCATTAATATTGATTTAAATTTTGGATTTCAGTATCATGGTTGAAAGGAGGTGTTTCTTATAAAATACAGCAACAACTGAGTCAGGGGCTAATTTATGTCCTAAAAAAGTACCATTTTATTGTATCACTGTTCACATACTATAGAATTTCACAATTTGCAACAATGCTGTAAACCACCATCCTTCCACGATTTCAAGTATTCAAACAAAACATGACTAAATTCAGATTTATCATTGATACTTTTTTTTATATAATTTTAAGATATGATTTGAAAGAAACCAAATTATACTGCATACAAAATTTTATGTTTTATTCCGCTGAATTAAAATGCAGTCATATGTAAATAACGTAATGGTAAAAATAGCTTACAGAAATAATTCTTTTATTTCAGATCATCCAACTAAAGACGATAGATCCGTTAATATACGGACGGGAAAAATGTCTCTAAACATAACTATGAATTTCTACAAAGTGTATCCAATGCCTATTTGCCTCGTTCGAAAGGTGAATCATATATTTGAATAGATCATTCGATCCCATTATATACCAACTTTTAACGACATATTTTGGTTCATTGATAATAACAAGTTTATACAAACAATAACATTTAGATCCCAAATAAAGGCTTATATAATAATTTTTATTTAATTGTTTTGTAATCAATTCTTTTAATACTTAATTACGTTACATATACTGGTACTATCGTGTCCTCCGCCAGAAAAAAATGTCGCTGATAGTGACTTTTCACACCAACACTTCAAATCATATTGAATTATCTCCAATTTATGCAGTAAACAAGTTTGTGCTATCTGTAATCTTGTAAAAGTAAAGGTTTTATGAATGGAAGCATATGTTCATCAAAGTCATTTTGACGAGAAGACATTCCAGCAAACCTTGTAATGTATGGAATCTACACGCCACAAGATGAGACACAATGAACATCACAACAAAAAAGTACATTTTGTGATTGTAAAGTTAAAATCAACCCTTTAACTTTTTATTATAATTTGCTATTATCAGCATTATGTCCTGAGTTATTCTTTTAACCAAATGCATGTAGCATGATTTATTACTTACTAGAACTAGAGATAAAGCGGGATTTATAAGGAGGATAGTGTACTATAGGTCACCATTGCATCGTTGGGAGTATATTACATATCAATATTTACATAGAAGTGTTATCATTTATCAGCAAAAAGTGATAAGGTATCAATTTGATGACAGAAATTTAGACGCAATTAAGATTTTATTCCAACTCCATAACTATGAAACATCTTCTGCGTCTGGAAAATTTAAGATAATTACACTTTTTCTATTTCATCAAAACAAATTGCTCTTTTAAGAACAAGAGGAAAGATCAAATACTTATTTATTACTTCTATGTAAATCAGAAGTCTCCGTCTCTTATCTTTCGGGGCTGACGCCTCTCAGTCATCAGACGATTACATTAATAGATGTATGATAATGAGCCTAATTCCAAATTAAATGTATACACAAGCAAAGGATAAAACATAATTTGTGTAAGTAAACATACTAAAGAAATCATTAACACAATAGAACAAACAACAATGTCTGACTTTGATTTCTTTTTACTTGTCATTAAAGTCTGAACCGGTTGAGGTCTTATTTATGCTTTCTTTTATCTTTGATCTTAACTTCAGAATGATGGTGCTGAGAATCTGTCTGTGCAATCAAAGGTAAAACATGGACTTTTCCATCGGGTAATTTTATTTTTGACGACAGAAGTTTCATCAGTACCTTGTGGTGAACAGCTGAAAATAAAATGTACTGCAGCAGGATATTCAGAGACAATAAATGCAAAACAAATGATAGACTGTAAATGTGAGTAAGATTTATCTAATAACGCTGTTGAACTATAGGTTTGATATTTTAAATGACGAGAAAATGTTTTACAATTGATTTTGTGCCTTGCTTGTTTAGTCTTTTTGTTAAAGAAGAAAGATAAAAGATTCAGGATGATAATACAAATTTCATCAAAATGCAATACGATCTAAAATACTATCTCATCTTAATGCAACAAATTACCTTTAGCACGCTGGATTATTGTATTTATATTTACCGATGATTTTTTTGGTATTATTTGCAAAATGATATTTTCAACTTATATTTAATACCTTTGTATTTATTTTCTTTTTGTAGCGCATACAGATGTTTCAAGTGGTAGCTACATACTGAATGTATCGCATTATGAAATGTTCATTTTATCTTTCATTATAAGTAAAATATTGCCTGCAAAGTAAAAGTACACATTTCAAATGATAATACCAATCATTTATGGCGTGAACCAAGTTTTGTCATCATTGATTATATGAACTACAAAAATACTGATACAGATGAAAGTTTAAGACTTGGCTTGGTAAGAGCTACTCTACTTTGGGCATTACTGGTGCAGGTGGGTCCCGAGGTGGGACTCGGACACAAAGAGTGTTTATTGTTTCTATTTTGTTTACCCTTGTATTTATATTTACTTTATTTATTCTTTATATGGTATGTACAATCAACGACAAAAACTTTTTTTTTGACATAATTGTCAAATTTACACATTTTTTGTTGGCGTCTTTGTTAGATTAAAGTGTATGTTTTTTTTTGAATTTTTTAGTCAATTGTGTTGTATTCCTGCGATGCAAGTTTACACAATTTCGGATGCTGGATCCCAATTATTGCCAAATTTACCTATAATGTTTGAGCAACTCGCCCAATTTTTTTTTCACTGGTTTCGTTGATTGATAGCGTTTGATTTTGTCAGTTTTTAAGGACTTCTCCTTTTTTGAATTTGCCTTGGGGTTCGGTATTTTTGTGAAACATTTTTATCTTCGGCTATATTGGGATCAAATTTTGTAAGCAAGGCGACAATTCTTGACTTTGATTTTATTTTCGCTGGAACATGAATCAATTTGAATTTATTTCACAATCTTTTATTTAACTTTTGCAAACATCTGATGTAGGAGTTTCGACAGGTTTAGCAGCTTTATAAACAGATGTCTTGTATATTTAGTCTCATTGTTCACTCTATCGTATAAACATGACAAGTTACGAAGATGGAATTTAAATGAAGGAAACAAGGGCAAAATAGTTTTACAAACTTGGTTTAGTTTGATAATAATTGTCTGTTCGTTAACATTTAAATATTATTCTTTATTCATTTGGTTTCCGTTTCCGTTTATAGTAAAACAATAAAATTTTAAAAAGTTTAAGGATTGTTATTTCTAATTGCCAAAACCTGAATATTTTTTACCCCAGGAACTAATTATCTTAGGTGTATTTGACAAAACCTTTCGAATGTTTATGGTCCTCAATGCTAATCATTCTCTTAGTTTTTTTTCCCTTGTTTTGTATATTCTTTTTTGATTAATGAGATTTGAACATTAAGTCCTTGTAGTAATTTTTAAAGAACTGCATTTGTTATTGTTAAAGTAGTCTTCTGTTTTAATTTTTGTTTGTTTCGAGGAACCATGTTATTATGACTGTTCCTGGATTTGATACATATTCCTTGGTGTAAAATCGAAATCTGGAGACGTATGCTATTTCTATAACTACTGTACGCACATAACAATTGTTATATACTTCGAGATGAAAAAAAGAAAAAAAAAGTTGCTTCTTTGTTTGCTTTTTCATGTACGCACAGTGATATTGCGTCACGCATTAAACACTGTAACACTTCTTTTCCGTTATATTAACGAGTGTTTACCTCTGGTGTTGTGTTGATCGCGTAAAAAGTTTTCCGTGCTTGACGTGAATGCTCTTGTATGTTGACTGTAATACAGTATTCATCCTTGTGAAAGCTTTTCTTATATGTCAATTACCTAATTTTTCAGATTTCAATTAGATAGTTCGTTTAATGAAATTGGTTTGCAGTCAACCCTAATTGTTTGCCCGTTTTATTCGGTTTTGCAAGTCAAAAATTCTAACATATCCCACTGTATATCTTGATGTTCCCGGTGGTTGTCGAAATGTTTTTATTGCTTCTGTCTTTACCGTGATATAGCCGAGAAATTTAAGGCATATGTTAGATGTTATGGCTAGATATAGGTTCTAATTTGTTGATATTATCACTGAAAAATGACAATTGGAAGAACAACAAAACACGTGCTGAATACTACAAATAAAAATAAATTCCTTACACCTGCACGTGCAATAGAACAGATATTTTATACCCTTAAGGGGGATATTGAGTGTAATGTAATTTACTATCCTTAGATACTTTTAATGGTAGAACTGCAGATGTCTTTTCTGTTGGAAATATCATGCGTTCGTCGTATGTGTCTTATGGTATTTTACCATAAAAATACTAGGATAATTATCATTTGATCTCTAATGGATTGTTGTCTCACTGGCATTCTTACCACATCTCCTTATTTTTATACAAGATCTTTTCTCGCCTTTTTAAATTTAAACGTTCAATAATATTAATCTTGAAACAATGGCATAAATAATCGTATTATTATCTTGCTTGCGAAAATTCCATTGGTTTTAATTTGTGTGATTTCTTTTTCTGAAACGAAGTCCTGCTGATTCACAAGAAGTTTTATGTTGTCATCAAGTTCTAAGTTTGGAATAATTTCATTATTATCAATTTTGAGCAGTCATTTGAATATGATATAAACACACCGTATGTGAACGTATGGTTAATATTTTTGTATACTTATTATTTATGTCTTTTTTGATAACACCGATAGTGAATAATTAATCCTTCGATTCGTAACTTCAACTAGGAGTACAAGCAGTTAGTTTCTCAAAATATTTACAAACTTTTAATGTGTGATTGAAACTGCACTATTTTCAAGCCGTTCAACTATCGCATTAACATTTGTCGTATACACAACGACATTTTTTATCAACTGACAGGTATGTTTATCCCTGCATATGAATATATATCAAATAAGCATCCATCTATTGTAAAAATATACGATTTGAAGACTACGTGTAGATGAATTACTTTCAAATTGGACGTTTTGTAGAGTATAAGTATGTTTAAAATAAATGCGTGATATTCGACGGCTGTTGTTTTAAGATAAGCAAGATAAAACAGATTGAACTTGAATCCGTTAATTTGTTCTTATGAGATCCATTTGAACTGTATTTAAGTGTCGTACAATACAGCGAAAGATCAATCCTAAATAGGACGAATAAAATTGAAAGATATACATTGAAAACACTGTACTGCATACATAATTACTGGTGTTACCATATCTTTACGATTAAAGTTATGCACCCAGCAAATCATTTCGTACGTTTGACTTCGACAAGTTAGGTATTCCGAAATAGAACTTCAAAGTTTATTATTGGAAAAATTGCATCCTGTCAAAGTTTGAGATAACATGGCACAGATTTTGCAATCAATAGTCTCTACAAGACAGTTATTATTTGTTTGAATTCTTTCTATTCTTTTGCCCTTAAATGCGCTGCAAAACTTGGTGGCATAAAGATAAAAGCAGACGAGAAGGATTTTTATCATTTTCAAAATGTGGAATTCATCATTGAAATACAAATCTGACAAATCAAACTATACAGGTGGTCTTCAGTCAAGTCATATTGAAAAATGCCAAGGTTTTTGTATATTTCCAATGTCCATCGTCAATGCGTTCATATATGGTCATGAACAGAATTGTAGAAAAAGTGATGTTGGATACACAAGGCAACAAACAGACGCACATTTCAAAACTTGTATGATGCGTTAAGGGTCGACATTGGTTTTCAATTTAAACAATGTTACTTGCTGAAATCGAACTAACCAGTTGGCACAAGTAAATGAATATAAGTCTAAAACGGTCATTTCGATCTTGGCATCATATGAAAAGTCTGATCAATGAATTATTCAGTTATGTTCAGTCTTTCAGTTAATTTCCATACTTAACCACTGCGGTTAATTCAGTACTGTTCAGAAAATTGGCTTGCGGGCAATTCAGTACTGTTCAATAGCTTTTCCGACAATTTAGTATGATATTGATGTGTTTAGGCAAATACCAATTACTGAAAAATCTAAACATAGTGCGAACAGATCTTAAATTACAGTAAGTGAATAATCTCAACAGTACCGAATAAACTACAATGGATAAGTCTGAAAATTGACAGAAATACTGAAAATGACTTATTAACTTATTGTTCATATAATTCAGACCAATTCAGACCAAAATTGAAAAATACGGCCCAAGTTCGTACTAAGAGACAAAGAGGCAGTGAAATTTCTGAAGATTCTTCACGGCAAACATGTTGTTGTTCCTGTATGTAAATCCTATTACTATGAGTGTCTCATCAAAGAACTAGGAATAAATGAACACTTGGACAATCCCACGCTCAGAAACGTAACATTTGAAAAGGGTGAGATCTTTGCAAACCACAAGTTCTTCATGGCCTCATTGAATATTCCAATTAACAACAGATCTGAGGACTTATTATGTTGTATTGGATACCTAAACTTCAGAAAGTTCCGTACAAACATCGGTACATTGCCGACTCATGTGCATATTCATAGGCGGATCCAGGGGAGGGGGGGGGGGGGGGATGCTGGGGTTCCCGGCCCTCCCTTCGTGGGAAAACTTTGGTTGATTATATAGGGAATCACTGAAGCATGACTGGAGCCCCCCCCCCCCCTTAGGTCAGTCAGCGGGCCCCCCTTATGAAAAGTTCTGGATCCGCCACTGATATTTTACAAAGGCTTTGTCTGTTAGATTAACCAAAATTTTGTCCGCAGTGAAAGAGGTATTACAAAATATTGTGACACTGTTTACTTGAGTCAGGTTTATGAATTTTTATCAAATGTTCAGACTCCTTGGGTTTTGTCCTACGACACAGAGCAAAATATTTTGCCCCATATCACCAACTTTTCATTTCTTAGAAGACTTTAATAGTTTATAAAAAGGCCATTGCCAAAATCAAAATTTAGGCAGATTCTAGATTTTTTTCTCACGATTTGAGACCCAAATAATGCCAATGCTAAATAAAAGGTAAAAGTCCGGGTCAGCCTTTTCCCGCCATTGAAAAAAAATAAAATATCTCAAAACAAGAGTTCCATAACTTATCAATATTTTTTAGCTTATTTTGTTCCTTAACTACTGCTCTACTGACTTATAGTATCAATTCCTAATTCTTGATTCTTTAAATTTCAGCTATACAACATCTTCTTTTTTTCATTTTGATATAAAACATTGTTTCTAGCAAGGTAAAAGTTTGAAATCGATGTAAAAGGGTCTATAGTCCAAGTATGTACAAATCAGGGTAATAAAATAAGCTTACTATGACCTATTGAAAAAATGTATAAAATTCCTCACATTAAATTATAATGAGGTGATATATCTTAACAAAAGTTTTTTTTGAGAAAAAAAACCTGTGGTATTTGGCTCATTTTTTTAGGTTCTCCCATCTTTCGTGTCTTTCTGGTGTGTCAAAAAAAAACTATCTAAAAAATCTCTTCATAAAAAGTTCCTTTTAATAGGAGTGTCTCTTCCATCCGAATTTACAGTTTTTACTGTAATTTTACATTCCATTGACTTCATTGTATTCCAAATCTTTAATCTCAATAAATGGAATGAGAAGCTCTTTATATTTTAACGCTGGCAATTTTTAAAATTTTATATAGAAAAAATACGCAAACCCTATAAAAAAATATATTTTTTTTCTTTTTAAATGATCACTAGCAACAGTTACTGCTTTTTGACAAAAAAATGTACAAAAAAAACTAAATATAAGGTATACTGAAATGTAAATGACTGTCGAAAATAATTGATCGGACTTGTTGTGAAAATTAACCAGTGAGTCTTGTGATAGAGTCAAAATCTTGATAGATTCTTCTTTTTTAAAATATGAATGCCGGGGAAGTATTTCAAATTTGGTAACTGTCATCATATCATTAAAGAAAATTTTACAAAAGGAGACAATTAGAATTTGTATTGCTGTTCCTGATGTACAAAGTTAATCTAAATGTTTTTATAATCACAAAGACGCTCAAAACGGCAAAAATAAATTAGACGATGGCTAGTTACGGTTGGCAAAGACAATTGTGTTTCGATGTAGTTGATAACCTTTTATTTTCTCGGAACTAGCTGAAAATGAAGTTACCTTATTTAGTTTTCATTATTTGCACAATTTGCATGTGGTGGACGACCAAGTTCACTCGTACTTTTGTGTTGGGTTGATATGCGGATGAATTTCGACATGGCATTCACGGGAATTTTTCACTTCTTGTAAACGTATCGATATTTAAAAGTCAATAACAAGAAAAAAAACACAACATGATAGTTTTTTTGCTGTTTTAATACGTTTCTCCACTCAAAGTGAGGACGTTTGTTTATTGTGGAACAAACATTGAAGTATATAAATAGGTTTGTTTGATTGAACAGGAAGTTCCATTTGTGATGTATCTTTAAGGTAATTTCTACGATATAATCAGCTTTATGTACAAAGGTATAACGTTTAGAATCTTTTGAAATCTCTGCAAGATGCAGGCTATGCGTAGCCAATGAATATATCTTTATACTTAAACCATAAGGCATTTTATATCAGAAAATTACAAACCGTTGCCATCATAAGGCATTTACAAGGTGTTTTCGAGAAAACACAAGCTATAGATATCATATATATATATATATATATATATATTACACGAAACGGATAATCGGAATAACCAAAAACTATTGGACATGACAACAGACCACTCCAACTACCAAAACTTGACTCCTCCAGTAAAACGAATGTATAAAAAAGAAAAAAAAAGACAACATTGTACCTGTTGTATGTGCACAAACATCCCAGTTTGACTATCTCTATCATATGACACACTTGCCCACTCCTGGCAACAAGATTAGAAGTTTGCGGGGGGAAAGTGTGTCTCTGGAAATGATTATCTTATTATAAATTTGCATAATGGTCAACCGCATATGACCCCTTCTTTGACGTCTTGAAATCGTACGAAAGCGACAAGCAAATCTAAAGGAACAAAGAGAAAGATCTGAATTGAATCATATTGTGATGCAGTAAAAGTGGTACTGTTTCTAGTAGTATACACAAGAAGTCATTATATTTTTGATAATCATACATTTGACTTAAAGTTCAGTATTTTTGTTATACTTTTTTACCATACTAGTATTTTGACATAATGTTCTTGTACTGTTTCACTCTACAATATTGATAGAAACAAGACGGAATTTGGGTTTTCCTGTTAATATAAACTTCAAATGAAGCGGAAACTATTGTAATCAAAATCCAACTACGAGTGTTTTTATTGTTTATTTCCTTTTGATATCAATTTATGTATTAGTTTCGGTTTCATTGTTAAATAGAGCAATGCATTATCCTATATTTCCTTCTCATTTGCATATCTTTTTTATGTTTTTGAATTAACCAAGCCAGCAACAATGTGTTTCTAGGGTAAAGTTGATAAGTTTCAATCTATAATAAACAGTTCATTCTTATACCAAAACGAACATGCACGACACAAAAAGTAATGATACACCTATTTATACAATGTTATATATTTGAAAGTTCATCATATGATTACAAACAACATGGAAAACTACTACAGAAAACTATAAAATTGGTAAAGGATGTCTATATGATAATTAAAACAGGTAAATGATCTCTTATAAAAGAAATTAAAACAAGACTACAACAAATGACAAAGTACGTCAATAATAAGTCGTAATAAAAAAGACAAAAAAACGATTTAGTTGCTAGCATATTGATTTTAGCTCAATTGATCATACTTGTGCAGACCAAACGCGCGTCTCAATGTTGTTCTGCGAAATTGTCTTAAGTCAAGTCCTATGCTTTGATTCGGATGTAACTGATTACACGTCTTGAGACTAACTTACACTTAAGATATGTTTTAAGAAAAGGCTTGTCCTTTGACAAAGAATTCAGTTAAAGCGACAGCTGTACAACAACAAAAAGAAACTAATATTTGTTATAATTTGTTAAATTGATTTAATAAATTGGACGTATTCTTTAATCAACAAGATGAAAAGCACAACTTTATTCAACTTATCACACTAACAATACTCAAATGACAGAGATGTTCACAATCAAAACAATATATGCAGGAAGTTACAATTGAAGTTATCGAGTTAAGTCAGACTCTATACAATATACATAGACCAGTGCATGATTAGCGAGTGTAGTGAATTTAACCTTGATCGAGGTATGTATATATCATATCTTATTATTCTTATAAATAAAGATTTACTTCTTTATTAAGTTGACAAGTTTTTATATTAGTGTCAAAGACAGTTTAGTAAAAGTCCCTTGATATTAGATCTCTTGAGGATATTTGTGTAGCATGTTGTCAGTTATTGTTCCTTGTAACACATTGTATTTACCAAGTATGCCATTAGTACATGATGAAACATTAATATTGGCTGTGGCTATCTTATTGAGCATTAAAATGTAAGTTGCAAAAGGTCAAACCGTTGAAAGAAAGCAAAATTATTTTTGTAATTTTTTTTAAGCATTTATGCATAATATTTAATATGTGATGCTTAAATTTCAAAATTTGGAAATAAACAAAAGTACAGAACATTGAAAATTAGCATTAACGATGATGCAACTTATTCATAAAATTTATTTTCATTTACTAGCGTAAGAGAGTCTAGACAATCAAATATATAAATGTGTCAGCAGATAATAAATGAAGCAATTAACTCCTTATGTACTTTCTTTTGGCATTTGATACGCAGTTTCTTTACACTGATTTTATGAAATCTCCCAAACACTAAGTTCACATTTTATCATAATGTTATTAGAGTTTCACATACGTAATAAGATATGCATACTTACCTATTTTATATTTTCTTATTTTCATATTATCTAATTTTGACACTATACACGTTTTGTGTTTCTGCATCTTCTATTCATTTTAACTCATTATCTAGTAAACAATCCTTCTTTTTATCTCGTTATGATATAGCTCTGCAAAATGTATAAAAACCAAACATAGAATATCAAATATTAGAGCGCACAATCCGTGTATTGTCATTCGGTATTACGTATTAGTAAACTGAAGACCAAATATTTGGGAAAATGTATAAATAAAATGTTTGGTAAAGTGGCGAAAACTTGTAAATAAAACATGCATTATCTTAATTCCTGCTGGTTTAATTTGATGTAAAATACCACTTTTTCTTCCTTGATTTTATCATAGTTTACTAAAATCATAATTAATGACAACAATGCGACACAGGCAAACAATGGAAGAAAACAATGACTGGTATCATCATTACTGAAGTTCACATACCAGGTTAATAACTAAATGATAGGATAGATGTCCTACAATCGTACTTTTTTTTAAAATTTTATATTTTCTTTTTTCACCAACTCTGTCGTCAACGACAAAAGCAGGTCCAGTAACCTCCCTACTGTGTCCGTCCTCCCGTTCGTCCGTCCGTCCGAAAGACCTTGGGTAGAAAACTTTTGTCAAACTTTTCTTATTTTCTATGGAAGGGAATTATTTTATATTTGCTCTGAACTTTGATAATGTTGAGTTGTAGCGTGTTAGCAATTTGTATATCAACAGTTCAGACAATTTCGAATTTTACATCATTTAATGTTAAAGGTAAATTTTCATCAATTTTTCTTCAATCACTCCCTGTTTGCCGATAGTTTGAAATTCTACAACACTCATTGTACAAGGAAAATTTTGGACTAACTTTTCTTTGTTTCTATGGTAGGAGATGATCAGTTATACTTCAGTATACATATTCCTTAATCAATTGCATGGAGTGACACAGGTCCAGACCCGATATCGGTCTTATTTAACATTTGACCCATTAAATGCTTGAACACTTGGCAATATGATAGGTGTCGCTGTACACGGTTAAATATCTTGTTCAAGCACGTTTATACTTTAACTCCTAGTTCCTGTCAGATTTAATAATGTTAAGATTTGATCCAGTCACTTTACAAAGAAATTGTAACGTCCTTACTACTTTCTAATTTCAAATACTAACATATCGAGGGTTTGAAATTTTATTATGTTTACTCTTGCATTAGCAAGCATAGCCTATAATTTAATCTTTGTTGGGCGTCAAGAACTGCTTACAGTTTCCGAGTTAATCTCGTTTTTATATGTGTTCCATATGCTTGAATTTTAATCAGATACCATCAGCCGAAGGAAAACGTACAATACCATACCCAAAGAGTTGGCTTTGTTTTAACGGTTTTTTTTTTAAAATTTTACCCATGATTGTTTGTTTGACCTCCTTCAATTTGCGATTTTTGATAAACAATATGTATCTTCTTACGTTTTATTACATATACATTGTGATATCGCATTTTGTATTTCAAATTGAAAAAAGACATTTATATACCTAAGGTATGTTTTTTTCTTATGTATATGTATGAATATCAGATAAACAGGTGATACGGTAAGTATGCGTTGATATTTTTAGTACCCCGTAGACCATAGCAGTAGGAGTTATGATTATGCAATTTTCTGCACTTTTATGTCATGCTTCAATCTATTGATAAACTATTTGGTATGTAGTCATATCATACGAAGATATAGAAAAAGTTGGAATTTCGAGATATTTGAGTCAGTCTTACCTGAACAAAGAAAGTAACCAAAATAGTTTTTCACACTGTTTTTTTTGGTTATGAATCAAGTAATTAGATATTTAATATACAGTCATTTCATAAGAAATTATACCTGAAGTTTGAACCGCGTTCCAATTTAGTGATTTTTCCGAAAATTAATAGCAGCTTGTTTCATAAGATACACGCCATCTTGAAATCATTAAACACAAATTAGTTCTGATCTCTGATTATGTTGCTAGATTTTATTGACTCAAACATAGAAATGAGATTGTTTTAATAAAAGGAGAATACATTATAAAACAAAGTGTAAAATTATGGTTATTCGAGACCCAATCGATGAACTACACAAGGTCATGTTTTTCTCTGACTGTTAATGACGTCTTTACACTAAATCCATTGGATGTTGGATGTGTACGGATTGATAATTTAGTTTTAGATGCATGATTTTTTTATTAGTTGTTAGTGGCTTTGAACTAGCTGTCAGTAACTGCGAGTACTCTCAGATCTGTACTTAGAGTCTTTATGTTGTTTGGATGTACAAGTACCCGTCCACGTCCACTTGTATTTGTAGTATTTGTATTTTTATCCATCTGATGAGTTAAGCCTCTTTCAACTGATTTTTATAGTTCGTTCTTATGTTCCACTGTCCAAGGTTAGGGGGAGGGTTGGGATCCCGCTAACATGTTTAACCCCGCCACATTCTGTATGTATGTGCCTGTCCCAAGTCAGGAGCCTGTAATTCAGTGGTTGTCGTTTGTTGTGTGTTACAGTTTTGTTATTCGTTCATTTTTTGTACATAAATTAGGCCGTTAGTTTTCTCGTTTGAATTGTTTTACATTGTCATTTCGGGGCCTTTTATAGCTGACTGTGCGGTATGGGCTTTGCTCATTGTTGAAGGCCGTACGGTGACTAATAGTTGTTAATTTCTGTGTCATTTGGTCTCTTGTGGAGAGTTGTCTCATTGGCAATCATACCACATCTTCCTCTTTTTTTTTATATATATTGCTATAGGATCGCGGTGTTTATACATTGATGAATAAGCACACATGTATGTCTTCCTGTAAACGTACCGCCATTATGGATCACTTTTTAAAATGTAAAATATATCAAGGGAGTGTTATTTCACGGAGATAATATGACAATAGGTTGACATATATTTTTCATTGGGTCATTAATATTCATCTTCTTTTAACTTGTCTGTTAAACCTACAAAATGTATGTACTTATCTTTTTATCTCACTATTATGAAGGATTCGTGTTATTAAAATTTAATTCAGATGTCAATTGTGTCAAAGTTGGGAAATATGTAAATGGATGATGACTTTCCTTTGATATATATGTATGGGTGGTGATATTCTAATAAATCATATACGGATTTGATCCCAACTAGACGTCTGTACCCAAAATCCCTTAAAAATTACACCAAACACCAAAACTGACATAATGTTGATACTGCAAAGCACTGCGTATCTTTTGATATAGGTTGAACTTGTGTGCTCTAATTTCCGTATGTCTGAATCAATTGATTCAACAATTGTTTAGGCATTAGGTGACACCTTGACATAAAACATTTCTTCAAAATATCAGTTTTTTGAAATTGAAAAATCACATTGATTCCTTATAATTCGTGTTAGGCACAATTGCACATCTTTTAATAAATATTTTGACCCAATTTTATATATTGATAACATAAAGATCACTTCAATAGTAGCAGCTATTGACCTTGTATAGGAATTGTTTTCAAAACTGCAGGATATGCAAGGGCAAGGGTCCTAGTTGTGAGGAAAAGTTACAATTTGCAGGTCTGGGATAAAGGTATATTTTTGAATGTCAAAAGGGGGGATTGATTGATTGATTGATTGTTGATTGCTTAACGTCCAGTGGCAAATATTTCATGCATACTCAGTACGAGAACAAATTAACAATAAATACAATAGGTAGGTTCTGTAATAGAGGCGTCCTGGATTAAGGTCGGAGAAATTTGGACTGCCACGGGAAATGAGGGTATATTGGATAGGGACAGAAATTTAGCCTTGCAACAGGTCACCTACGGACCCCTCAAAGAGTTGTTGCAAGGGTTCGTAACGTGCAAAGAGCGTGGCACTCTCTTAACACGAGGCATCGGATTTAACGTCCCCATTCTGACCGGACGTGGATGCAAATTTGTACATCCCGCACAGCCAAACGGACGCCCCACTTTGGCGAGGGTTTTACTGCCGATCGGAGGAAGACCAATGGTGATCATACTTCTATTCCCCAGTCACCCTTGGGGGGTTCAAAGTGGAGAAATGGATGGCTGGATGTATTTGTGGTTGACGTTCGGCGCGAATTATTTGTGCATATCAATATCAAGAAGATAACATACTTATGTAATACGAATTTGTGTATGGATTTTTGCCTTTTAATAAAAAGATAAAATGAGCGGGAAGGTTTAACCGACTATTTCATAATTTGGTAGTCCAAAAGATGACATGTTACCCTACCAGGATACCGACCAGTTTTTGCAACTAAAAAATGCAACATATTTAGCGACATTCAAGGGGTACTTTACCACGAAAAGATAACATTCTGAATTTGCGGAAAGAATGGTGTACTGTGGAAATCTCTGGAAAAGTCTGTTAATGATTTTACAACGTAACTACTATTAGTTATTCGTGTATCGATTACAACCAAACTTCATTAGCATATGCCTGAAAGCATGAACATGGTGAATTTCCCGAAAGACTCTTTGACCCCAATGTTTAAAAAAGGTCCATAATAATCACATATAATTAAAAGCTTTTATGTGGAACACTTATATTTTACAAGATGACATTCAAATTTAGGAAAATTACCTGGAATGATGCATTATTAAGGTTATATGAATTATTAAATATATTGAACAGTACACAAGACAACACCAATAGAGCAGTAATAAAATTGCCCCACCCTTTTTTCTTCTGTGTGGTTCATGGAGCATCCGAATATTGGTTAGGAATGTGTATACGGTAAAATTTCAAAGATTTCAATGTCAATACTAGGAACTATATACGTAAACAAATAATTGTAAACATTTGCTTAAAACTACCGATCAGATAATCTAGTCTTGGAAGAAACATTCAATTATCGTGTTTTATGAAAAGAATGCATCCTATTTTTTTAAATAGATAGATTTCAAATAAATCATACAAACTTAAAAAAGAGGTGGATTAATACCAGAGTAACCATGGATGTTTATAAGTCGAAGGAAACCGACAAAATGCAAAACGATGAGAAGACAAACAACAGTCTACAAAATACTTCTTCATAAACTATAAACTACACAACACAAGGACAACCGAAAACCGTGGGTTATCTCAGGAGTTTTGGAAAGCTAAGCAGATCACAACCCACACGTGGCACCCGTCAAATTCGGTTATTTGTCTCATTCGATGATTTGATGTGTTTAAATCTATAAATGTATTGATTGCAAAAAAAAAACATTTTCACGCTGCTGTTTACATAGTAATATAGATTGTGTGCGTGTACCTCACAAATGTAAATATGAGCCCACTGATAGATTAATTGATTCAAAAATCGTTCATTTATTTAAACATAATTACCAGGAGATTGCAATTGTGTTGACATTACGACGGTTAATGAAATAGTTTGCATTAAAATATTTAAGTAGTATTGCAGCCAGTATATCTTTCAAATATATATATTCATCATAAAGACTAAATATAGAAATTGATAAAAAAACATCTATACAAATTATTCCGGTATGTATTTATTTAATTTTATATTACTGGGATTAAGTGTTTTATATCTATGTATTATACACAAGAAAATACATGAATAAATTTTAAATTGAATAAAAAACCAACACATTTTCTATTGTACAATTAATGTAAAAAAATATTTCTTGATTACTTGTAAAACCGTTTGCAACTTAAGAAAACCGAATATGCAAAAATACAAACTAAATGAGATGAATTGATTGATTGATAAAATTATTGTTTCTTGATATCAATCAAGCACCAAATATTTTGCAGTTTATTGATAGATTTAACATTTTAAAAACTAGAAAAAATGCCCTTTAATTCGCACTCTTTTGAAATGAATATATTAATTAGTAATTTTAATATGTTTAATAATATCATTTTGTATATGGATTTCGATATTTCAACACCAGAAACTGGTTAAGTCCTAGTGACGCATCTTTTTCATTGTTCATATTTCATATATCCTAAGTATGATATAAATAAATAATTAGACAAAGAACTTTTCATAGCAGAGACACCTCTTTAACACTGTATAAGTCCATGAGTTTCAACAAACTTATCAGATTGTATTTGAAACGGAGACTTTTAAGTATGATATTTGACAAAGATTAATGTGTACTATGAAGGAAAATTAAAGTAATGTGAAAGGTGTAATGTCTTCACTAAGATTTGGATAAAAGATAATACTGATAAAATTCTCTTGTCAATAAGGATTTTGTTTTGTTTTGCTTAATATAATCGAATTGTTACTAGCCACACACAACACGACCGTTTTACATCGCGAAACAGGAACTGCTGATCCTTCCGGCCCACGCAAGGTAACCAAGGTTTTAGGATTTAGATTTGCTTACATTTTAATTGCCTGTGTAGTGTTTTGATGACTGCTGTCTGTCTATTCGTTTTTCTTTCCTGGAGCCATGAAGGTGTCTGTCTTTGTCGACTCATGCAATCAAAATCACGTCGTGTCACCGTTTTGTATTGTTTTTCAAAGACAAGACTTCACATTGCTCTCACCACATATGGAATTTACTGACCCCATATATATCGTATTAGGAGGTCACTAGCACACTGTGTAACTAATAATATAGATAAAACTTGTCTGCTCTAATTTCCGTATGTCTGAATCAATTGATTTAACAATTTGTTAATTCATTTTTGAGGAAATGAACTTTACAATTTGTTCCGCTTGAGCAATTATGTCGGAGATTGTGACCCCTTGACATAAAAACATTTCTACACAATTTCAGTTAAATAAAAATCACACTGATTCCTTATAATTTGTGTTGGGCACAATAATTGTGCATCTTTGAATAAATATTTTAACCTAACTATATATATTCATAACATATAGATCCTTAACTATTTCCTTAGTAGCAGCTATTTATCTTGTATAGGAATTGTTTTCAAAACTGAAGGATATGCAAGGGCAAGGTCCCTAGTTGTGAATAAAAGTTACAATTTGCATATTTGGGGCTAAAGGTATACTTTTGGAGGTCAAAAGGGGAGAAATGGATGGTTGGATGTATTTGTGTTTGACGTTTGATTCGAAATATTTTTTCATATCAATATCAGGAAGAAAACATGTTTATGTAATACGAATGTACATATGGAGTTTGCCTTTTATTACAAAGATAAATGAGCCGAAAGGTTTAATCTGCTATTTCATAATGTTGTTGACCGCAAGGCAACATATCATCCTACCGGGATACTGGCCAGTTTATGCTCTAACTCCAAAATACCACATATTTAGCGGCATCCAAGATGAGTATTCAACCACGAGAAGATAAAAACGAATGGAAAACAACTGTCATATTCCTTACTTGGTATAGGTATTTCCTTATGTAGAAAATGGTGAATAAACCCTGGTTTTATAGTTAGCTAAACCTCTCACTTTTATGAAAGTCGCATAAAATTCCATTATATTGACAACAATGTGTCAACAAAAAGAACAGACATAGGTAAAAATGTCAAAAGTAGGGGTACAATAATAACTTCAAAGTTAAAAACGTCTCGATTGTCATAGGATCTGGTACTGAGAAGACCGCTAAGTCAAATTCGAAGTATAAGTCTAAAAATGAAGTGGAGGAAGCCGTATCTGTTGTTTTTTTTTAATTTCTAGTTCTGGAGGATATATTAATATCATTTGGTCCCTTGTGGAGAGTTGTCTCATTAGCAATCATACCACATCTTCATATTTTTATATTTGGTCTATCATTCACACATTTTTGCAACTTATGAATTCGACGTTTTATCAGAGACCTGATTGTTTTGAACCATTCTGACAAAGTGTCCAGTTCAACTTCTTCTCGTTTAGCCCATGCTCTGGCGTAGTCATCAATCGAATCCATAATTATTTTAAAGTTAAGGTTCCAATAGATGTCTTGGGGTTCTCTGAACTTAGGACCATGAGATATCACCTTTCGGATATTTTCATGTCAAATTATGTTTAGATCCCAAGTAATAACATGGCCTGAGGGGCTGTAAATATAAGGCGAGTTCGAACAGTCACATGTTAGAGGTTTTTTGATGTATTTTTCTAAATTAAGGTCCTGCGATGCTTGCTTATAGTTAAATAATTTAGGTGCAATGGCTTTGGTGCAACTGTAGGATACAATAGGCACAGACTGAATTTTTAGATGTTACCTCCTTGTGATGATGAACGTTGCTGATGTTGATTGCATCAACTCCCTTAAAACTCAACTAGAAGAAATTTCCTCTTTTCGATCTTGCTGGTTCAAAAAAGACGGAAAAGAGCTAAATTACAAATTATACTGACCAATACAATAGATCAGTAAGAAAATTGCCCTGCCCTTTTTACTCCTGTTCTGTTCATGGAGCATCAGGAGATTATGTGGGCTGGTGTATGCGGTTAAAGTTCAAGGAATGCAATGGCAATACTAGGAACTACATACGTAAACTAATTACCGTAAATACGTGTTTAAAACGACCGATCAAATAATCTACTCTTGGAAAATTTTATAATCCAACCATCTTGTGTTTTGAAAAGAATGCATTCTCTTTTTCAAATAGATAGATTACAAGTAAATTATACAAACTTAAAAAAGAGATGGATGGATACCATAGAAACCATGAAACTTAACATGGTTGATACGGCGAAGGAAACTGAAAAAAATATTGTAACAAAATGACAAGACTAAAAACAGTCTTCAGAACACTTCACCATAAACTACAAACTAAGCAACTCGAGGCCAACAAAGAACCGGGGGTTGTCTCATGAGTTTTGGAATGCTTATCAGATCATCACTCACACGAGGCAGCCATTAACGTCGGTAATAAGATTCATTAGGTGATTTAATGTGTTTAAAACTATAAATGCGTTGATTGTTAAAACGAAGTTTCACGCAGCTCTTTACATAATAATGATTGTGTACGTGTACCTAACAAATGTAAATATGAGCTTACTAATTGATTAACTGATGCAAAAATCGTTCATTTATTTGAAATCAACAACTAGGGGGACGCAATTCTTTGACGTTACTACAGTTAATATAATGGTTAGCATTATAACTGTTGTTTTTTGAAGTAGGATTGAAGCCAAAAATCTTTTTCCACTTATAACAATTCATCATAGAGACAAAAGATTGAAATTGAAAAAAAAAAGGAAAACTCTACCGGTAAGTTTTATTTTAATTTTACTTAAGTAGGACTAAGTTTAACATATCTATGTATCATATACAAGAAGAGGGGCGAAAGATACCAGAGGGACAGTCAAAAATAATACTAGAATACATTTTTAATTGAATTAAAAAGACAAGACATTTTCTATTGTATTTACAACACTTGTTAGAATTATTTCTTAACTACTTGTAAAACCGTTTGCTACTTAAAAATGAAATGAATTAATTGATTGATGAAATTAATATTTCTTGATATCAGTCAAGTACCAATTATTTCGCAGTTTATTCCGTAGTTTAACATTTTAGTTATCAAGAAAAAATGCCCTTTAATTCACACTATTTTGAAATGAATCATTAATTTGTTATTTTAGTTATTTTAACGTGTTCAATAATATCATGTTGTATAAGAATTTCAATATTTCTATTTTAGTTCTAGTGACACATATTTCATTGTTCATATAGCAAAAACTAAGTCCTAAGTTAAATATAAATAAATAATTGTACAAAGAACTTTTCATAGCAGTGACACCCCTTTAATAATGTATAAGACAATGAGTTTCAATGAACTTTTTTTTATTTGAAATGGGAAACCTTAAGTATGATATTCGACAAAAATTAATTTGTGACCTATTTTTATTGGTTCTTAAAAGGAAAACATAAGTAATCTCTTCGAAATGTTTATTGCCATCATTAGAATGTGGTTGAAATGCCGAGATAATTAGTTTTACTCTTCAAATAGTCCGTTGTTTTTGCAAGGTTATCAGTCATGAATTACATTTCAAACATTATAGATAATGCAAAATGTCAGTGCATATAAAACAATCATATTTGATTTAGTAAAAATTTTATGAACATGTAATATGTTTCTAAGCATTTAAAAGCTTATAATTAAGAAAAATATCTTCAAAACTGGAAAAAAGTTAAGGCACAGTATATGCTCGATCAATTCGATTTTTCCCTTTCCGTTATTTCAGGTAGACCTTTAGTTATGTTACCTGAGTCGGAAGACGTCCATATAGAAAGGAAAGGGTTTAAACAGGATTGAAAGCTCTCAATCTGCCCGTAGCCTGGTAAAGCGGCAGATTCCATAATTAAAGACAGCAGTACTCGTGTTCATGGCTCGTTCTGAGTCCTTCAAAATCCATTTTTCCCTTAAAAACTGAAAACAACTTGTTATAAATATCATACGTCTGAAGAGTTTTTCTGGATTTACTTTCACCTGGAACGTTCAAAGCCGAAAATTTATACAAAAGAATATAAAAGAACCGAAAAAGTTGAAATGATATAATATATTCTTCATTTGGGATAGTATTCTGCTCAGTCTTTTTACCTCCTCGCAATGACCTCTTCATATCCTCAATGACGTTAAGATATTTAAGGGAACAAAATATTGAAACGGATACAGATTTGAAAAAAGAAGGAAATGAATTTAAGACGTCTATGAAAACAAGTGGCTATTACGTAGATCTGAGGAAAGGACACAGCTTCGAGGCTGGACATATATTTGATTCTTACACACATATATATGTTAGCGGCAATAAGTGAAATTAGGCATGAGCTTAAATTCTAGGCAATAAGCTAACGCCTAGGCATTAAATTATTGCCTGAAATTTCTGTCATTATGCTTATTTCCCGAAATCTGATGATGATTATTCAACCTATTGCCGAACATCATTTCAGGCAAAAAGTTAGCTTTGGGATTTTTGTTTTATCTTCCAAATACATGTACATTAGGTGAAACATTCTTGATTTATATTTCAAAAACTATATTCCCAAAAAATAATTTACATTCATTTTAAAGACCTTCAATTTTGCATATTCAAAGCAAAACCTTACCCATATTTCTTTGTAGTATTGCAAAAATGAGTTTAAACAAGCAATTGTTTCTAAATGATAAAGAGGGATTGAAGATTTTCATCAATCCTATCTGAAAATTATCTAAGGAAAATTCACTCTTTACTGATCGAGTCTATTTGAGCTGGTAACAAAAATAGACAACTGTAGTTTTTTGCTAGTCACATCATCATTTTATTAATATGTAATTCGTTTTTAAATACCCATCTAGGCTTTTTCACTTCTTAATCTGGATTATAAGCATTTAACTGACAACACATTTCTTAAATCTATTGCGGAATATAAATTTGAATCAAGCAAAAACAAAGATCATATACTCAAGGCAAAAGTACAATGATCATTTGGCAAATATTAAACGTTTAACACAAGAAAAGAAAACAGCTATAGACTATTACAACCAAATATTTTATGACATTTTTTACCATTGGAGGTTTGCAAGACTAGTTATTAAAGTAAAAGAATATGATGGGGAAAATTTCAAAGTTTATGTTTTTTTTTTAGGAATTGTATGGTATTTTCGAAAAAAACACATAAAGAAATAGGTCATAGCGGCCTATTATTATTGTAGACCGTTTAATTAAACAACCTAATAATGGCTTTGCAAATATTTTCCGCGATTCCATTGTACTATTTCTTCCATTTTGTTAAAATGTAATACGATACTAAGCGCAGTGGGAAGAAAGTAGTAGTGAACACATTTTATCCAGGTGTCATACAGAAGAGGACAGGTTCATTTCATGGATTTCTAATTAAAGTCAGATATAAACTTTATTGTCTTATTGTTTACCAAGATCCCCTAACTCATTTTTATATTATCAGAGCTTTTACGTCAAAATGTGCTTCAAAGGTGGCTTTTGATTAAATTGATGTTTTCGCAATATTTGAGGTGCTACATCAACAGCAAAGGGACAAAGGTAATGAATTCACAGCTTTGGTTATATCGGAATTAATGTTAATGTGACCAAAACTAGTTAAAGTTGTCGAGAAGCCAATACATCCCCAATCACAGGTAATTTCAGTAGTCAAACAAAAATAGTCATGACATACTTACATGGATGATGGATAACGAATTTACAGTGGTCAATTGGAATCAAATTCGTCCATATACGCCATATAGAAAATGATTCTGCTCTACACAAATGTATCGGACGATCACCAGATGCAAATGCTAGAAACTTTGCAATAGTATATGCCATAGTTGCGCATCATTTTGTAAAAACTTAAATTCAATACAATTTCTTTCAATATTAAAATAAGGAGATGTGTTATGATTGCCGATGAGACATCTATCCAACAAGGGTACATATATGTTAAAAGGTTTATTCAATGAGTTTTAATATCATTTTTTTTTACTTACGGTTTTATTTCAGGTAGTTGACATTCAAACTTTAGTTATTATTTTATTATGTAGCAAATGTATTTTAACTTTGAATACATTTCATTTTTTATGGTACTCTCACTTTCATTTTAGGCATCCACATTAAAGCCTGGACATACTTTAAAGGATTTAAATGTAATTTCTAGGATTTAAGAGTAATTCCAAACATTATTTAGAATTACTACCTAGGCGTTAGCTTATTTCCTAGGATTTAAGCTTGATGGTTACTTTCAGTTATTGCCTAACATATATATATATACTAGAATCCCATCATGCTTTAATTTTATTTCGAAGCTTTCTTAACCAACATATGCCATATTTCGTATATTTTCCGACAATGTACGTATTTGTCTTTTTATACGCACGTCAAAATTTTGACGGGACGTATTATGGTATGCAAATGTCGTCTGTCAGTCTGTCCGTCTGTCTGTCCGGCGTAAACATGTCGCACCGTAACTTGAGAATGACTTATCCAAATTTCATGAAACTTAACATTGTTGTTTGTTATGATGGTCAAACGATCTGTATACGTTTTGGTGAAAATAAGAGTAAAACTTTTTGAGTTACGGGACTTAGTAACTAAAACAGGTGTGTGTTTTTTTCACATGTCGCACCGTATCTCAAAAACAATTTATGATTATTGCTTAAAACTTTACACACTTGTTAGTTATATTAATCTCAAGATCTGTATACTTTTTTATGATGATTCAAAATTTTATTTTTGAGTTATTGAGTATTTTGTAAAAAAAGGGTGGGGGTTCACATGTCGCGCCGTATCTCTAAAACGATTTATGATTATTGCTTAAAATACACACTTCTTAGTTATATTAATCTAAAGATCTTTTTGGTTTTGATTCAAAATTTTATTTTAGAGATATTGAGTTTTTTGTTAAAAAAGGGGAGTTTTCGCATGTCGCGCTGTATGTCAGAAACTATTTATGATTATTGCATAAAAATTCACACACACAAGACAACGGGCGTATCATGCGCTCATGGCGCAGCTGTTTATTATATCATATATTTGCAAACATAAATGGTTTATTGCATGATAACTCCAACAAAGCTTCTACTTTGTTGTTTGTAATTTAAATGTATGACACTACGGTTTTAAATGAAGTGTAATTGAAACTATTCAACGTTGGAATCGAGCCAAATCAATTTAACCATACTTTTCCTTATTCATGTTATTTCAATATACTTTTTAAACTTTCCATTTGACATGATTTGTAAATATATAAGGAAAAAGACGTAAATGATGGTAAGCTTTTATTATAAAAAGATTTTGTTATCGTATATGTGAATTGTTTATCAAATAAAATAACCATTTTCTTATTTTAAGTATCAGTATTTGCTTTATTAAAACCTTATCAGTTATACAAAATTAAAGCGGTGACCTTTTTGCTGTTGGGTTTTCAATTTTTTTTGTGATTTTGTTTCACGAATAAATAATGTAAATACACCATATTCTCTTTCTTTCATTCAGAGAGTACTTAGGAATGACCAACATTTTAATGAACAACTCAAACTTCTATAGTGTCCTACTTAAAATTCATTTATTTAAATAGAAAAAATGCTACAGCAGTAAACAAAACAGAATATGTCATTAAGACAACCGCACACACAGAGAGTTAAAATCAATAAAAAAAGTCTGCAATCAATAGCAACTTTTTAAAATTCTTACTTAAATAGTTAGTACTGTAAATAGTTTCTTGATTTTCAGGAATTGTAAAATTTTCTTTTCTCGATTCTAATCTTAACTAAGTTCGAATGAAATATAGTATATTAGATAAGGTCTAACTTATATCTTTGATCCATCAGATATGTTTGAATGACTTAAAATCTGCCTCCTTAGCTTAGTGTCTATTTCCTGAGTTGATATCATATGAATTTCAGAACACCAGATGTCATATCCGGTTCATAAGGGAATCTATCAATTCGACATAATCATGTTTCAATATTTCTTTTTTGATGATTTAGGTTACTTTGCGATAAAAATATAAACTAGAAAGAACTTTGTTGAAATAAAATAATAACACAAAAAATATAATTTGGCGTTTTCAGTTTTGTTTTGACTTATGAGTTTTGAATGTCCTTCTCGTCTCTTCCTCCTTTTTTTATGAAGAAACTACATATATTCATCTGTGAAGGCGAAATGGATAATGGAGGCATTATCGCTATGATACAAAAAAAAAAAAAAAAACAAACGCTTAACACCAATTCTATATATGTAAAAATGTAAAATCCTTTGAGTCAACCAAAGCCATGCAATCCCTTAATTGGGAGATATGGGCTTTGATCTCTAGGGATGGGATCTTTAACTCGCATTAAAACACGGACTGGTGTTGTCACATTTAGAAGCTTATCTTATATGGTGTCATACATACTTGCATACAAATACAAAATTTGATATATCTTAACAATACATGTCAAGGAGTGTATATTTAACGATCTACTTCTCTTTAAATTTAAAGAAATAGTTACGTTGTTGACATAGAAATAAGACAACACACTGTTTTACTTTACGCATATTGATTTCACTTTTCTAATTTACCCATTGAAATACAAATACCTTACAAAAAAGGAAAATGAAACACTTTAATTGTAAGAATTTTTATTTATATATTTGGTTATCTGAAAGAGCAACGCAAGTTGTATATATTGGTACTGCTTGAAAAAATTGATACTAACAGTTTTGTATACGTTTTTAAAGGAATACAAAATCTATTCTAATAAATTCAAAGTACCCTTTAAACAACATTTGTTCACATTGGAAGGTATACATTAACATACATTAATTGTCTGAGGAGAAAATATTATCCATGAATGTTTCGAAACTAGAGGAAAGCGAGTTTTTTCGACTTGACATTGATTTTGATATTCTTTCTAAGTTCCCATTAGTCATTATAGCTTTTTCAAAAACATTGTAATCAAGTATTAATACATCGTTTTCATTCAAATGTTTTGGTTTTATCGTTTCGTATAAAGTTCAAATGAAGTGCAGATAAGCGCGTTCGACGCACCTTAATTATAAATCCTATTTTCATTTTAAAGAATATCTAAAAAAAAAAAATTATTGTACGGACATTCGGTGTGTTGCCTTCCTTTCTAAGGGCATTATTAAATATATCTAAAAAATCTTGTATTTCAATATTTTATTGACCTAAAAGCACGGCGTCTGCCATAAAGCATTTTAATTCTGGTATCTTTGATGAGTCTATTCGAGCCCAACTAATGATTCTGCATTTATATAGATATATATATATATAATACTATAAGTACGTCTGAACCAGTGACAACTCTACGACAGATTGTATTCATCGGATCACCAGTGATGGTGATACAAGGCTACAAACACATTCTGTATATATAATTCGTCTAAATAACAGCCCAACAATGTTAGATCTGTAAATTTGCGGAAGCAATTCTTTTGTTCTTCCCTGGCCGGGATTCGAACTCATGCAACTGATATATCGTGGCACCAAATCGCCTTGCACTATGTCCGGCGCGCAAGACCTCTCGACCACCTAGGCTTGATAATATTATATATATATATATCATAAGCCAGGCATCTGACGAGATTGTACACATTAGTAACTTGTTTTTAAATTTGACCCAGCTTTATTTCGTTTTATGTATTAGTTCATTATTGCCTGTCTTTCAATATTGATAAATACTAAAAATATTTGAAAAAGTTAAAGTATGGATAACGAAAAACTTTCATAAATGCTGCAGTAGCCTATACTACTGGTGTTGTTTTAGTAGACATGTCGAAATAATGACCCTTTCTCAAAAACTATTTGTTTTTGCATTTAGACAAAAATTTGTTTTTTTTCTAAAAGATGGCGGAGCTGAGCTGAGATCTTATATTGATTGATTTTTTCCCATAAACTCCACAATCGCATTTTCAACTCTATGACTGAAAACAAAACCATTTAGCAAAAATAAAGAATTTCCAAAATTAAAACTTCCTCATGTGTCTTTTATAATAAAGGTTTGGTGCGTTTCAGCAAGTCGAATGTTGACTTATTATACGCAACTGTCATACAAGTTAGAGGTTTAGCTAGCTATAAAACCAGGTTTAATCCACAATTTTCTACATAAAGAAATACCTGTACCAAGTCAGGAATATAACAGTTGTTTTCCATCTGTTTGAGGTGTTTCAGCTTTTGATTTTGTCATTTGTTAAGGGACTTTCCGTTTGAATTTTTCTTGGAATTTGGTATTTTTGTTATTTTTTATTATTACAAGTAAAGCATGTCGCGCGTGCTTTAAAAAAAGTTTTAAGTAATATAAAAATACTGAGACATATATATTTTTGACTCTATTGCCTAAGAAAAATATCTGGTTTTGGAACTTAATTAATATTGTCGAATAATCGAGACAATGTCAAATAGTATATAATTTCACTAAGCGGTATTTTCTATTTATTAGATAGATAAGCAAGATGTTTTGAAATCTACATCTTAGCTTGTTTAGAAGGAGAGTAACAGAGACTCAATTCTATTCCGATATATCAAAGAGAGAAACACGAATGTCATAAAATTAATGTAAATTATGTCATTCTTCTACTGCCTGAAAGATGTATAACATGTATAAGATGTAATAACATAAGCAACACGACGGGAGCCACATGTGGAGCAGGATCTGCTTACCCTTCCGGAGTTTTTCAAGTGTATTAAGAAGAAAATAACTTAGTATTTAAGAATAATTTCCACGATCAAAATAAAACAGAATTTAATCAGACAACACCATGTCAAATATCAACAACCAAAAAACCCCCAATATCCCGAAAACAACAGTCTGCGAAACACTAGACAACAACTATATATTGGGCACCACTAACTCTCCAAAATCCGGATCTTAACACAGGTACTCCGAAGGATAAGCAGTTTTGTTTCACTCTGTGTGGCTCACGGCAAATGTATTTAACGATAAAATGCTCGAAAGCCTTGTAATCAGCAATACTTAAAATAACGGGTTCCGCATAATAAATATGTTAGAATTTTCCCCTTGCAAATAAATTCAGAATTAATACATATTTGGAATGAAACAACAAATTTAAAAACTGCTGCAATTTGTTTTCATTGTTATGGTCATTTTATAACAAATATTAAATTAATGTCTTTATCATGTTTATTCATAATAATGTGGTACAACACACATTTAAAGTACGTCTTTTAATGTTTAGTCTAGTGGATAACTTTTACAATTTCATTGTAGGCATTTTATTGTTTTATTATTGTTTACAGTAAATAAAAGATTTTTGCACTAAAATGCAAGAAAATGGGTGAAAACATGGTGACGCCACTTACTATTCAAAAGGAATTGACAGACAATCACATTGTGCTTCAAGATTCTAAACCCGTTTCGCATTCACATGCAGAATGTACATCTACTTGGTATCGAAAAGCTGCCTATATAGTTTCTTCCGTACTGAACACATGTTTAATGAAAAATGTAGATTTAATTGTTATAGAAGTTTGTACAGCAATGACATTTAAGCTTTTACATTGGCTGCAAGATTTTATCACGATTCTTGATATAGAAAAACATATGAAAAAAGAAAGAATCATAGATGCATCCATGATAAGACCAGGTGATATCCTTTTGACTTCAGATCATAAACATGTAATTGTAAAATATGCCCATGCTATCAAAAGCGATCAAAGTCCGGACCGTGTCAGTTTGGAGGTAGTACATGCTTTAAGTTATTTACTCGTCTCAAAAAGAGTGGTTAAAAGTACTTTTGCTTTTTCGTCACAAGAACCTATCATTAGGGCGTGTACAAAGAGTCAAAGAGAAAGCGAAATAGTCCGCCCAAATATTGATGCGGTCGTTCGATTAGTTGGACAAATTTTGCTATTACGATCCAAATATCCTTATTGGTTGCTTCCGGTATGTATACATTAATTCTTACTTACGTTGAGAAACATGTTTGTTGCTAATATTTTTACAAATTCGTAATATTATAAAAAGTTTGCTAAAGAGAGAGAGAGAGAGAGAGAGAGAGAGAGAGAGAGAGAGAGAGAGAGAGAGAGACTGAAGCCGTTTGTCACTTTTTTTATTTGAAAGTAACAATCTTTGATTTTATGAAAGCTTTTATTTATTCAATTGTTATTTTTTTGTATATGTATTCTCATTATGTGGTACGGTAGATTGTGCAAGAAATTCAATACAAAGAAAATGAAAAATTATTGATATCATTAGGACATTGAATATATATAGGATTAAGGTTCCAGCCTTATATAAATATATATATCATTCATCTTTCAATTTGAGATTTTATGCCATAATTCACTAAAAAATGTGGTATGATTCCCAATGACACAACTATCAGCAATAGATCAAAGAACAATGACGTCAACTTCTAAAGTTGACGGTAAGGCCTATCAGCGATGAAAATAGATGAAGGCGACAGTTGTTTACAATGCTCGATAATCGAATAAAAAGAGTAAATTAGGGTAACACGGAAACACTGAGGGAATCGAATGTACCCCAAAAGATGCAAAACCCTGTTCGTTGACAGCGATGTGAATTCACTGAGACAAAAGGTGCAATCGGGAATAGGAAACAATCGGTTAAATAAAGATCAGACGGCCATATTTGATCTAAAAATCTACGATTGTGAATACATGTTGCTAGCAAGATGAAAAACCGACACATCGTATAGGTCAATCATAATCGAAACCGCAATTCAAAGGGAAAGAACCAACCCCTATTATATCAGTGGGATGTACCAAGATTGTTATAATAAAATAACGAGTATGTCTTTTTTATTTGAAACATAAAAGGTTTAACACAACCTGCGAGTAACGTGTATTAACAATATTTTCCTTTTTTCTGTTCTTCAACATATTTCATTAAAATTAACATTTTCTCTAGAACTCTTGCGATCTGTTCGATGTTACAAAACGGAAATTTGATTCCATTAGAAATGTTAAACCTGGTGATATCATATTATTTACTTACCACGGATTATACAAGAAAGGTCTGATTACCAGCAAGATTTCAGCACCAAACAACATTCTTCAGGTTCAACTTTATTACACTGACAACGAAGGAACGGTGTCAGAAACTACTAGTTCGTACAATTTGGATAGCACACAAATAATTCGGTATGCGTACAATGATTTGGATTCCGTTATGAGGAAAAGAATACTCTTTACAGCAGAACAAATGAAAGGAAATTGTTTATTCAAAGGATCAATCTTCAAGTCCTTAAAGTTTGTACTCGGATGTATGTCCGGGGATTTTCTATTGAAAAGGTGAGTTGAAAATGTGTACATGCTTAAACTTTAATGAATAAAAATAAATCATTTCCGTTCTTATTTTTTCTATCAAATATCCCAGGCTTATAATTTATGACACCGGATGCGCGTTTTGGTTACACTTTGCTTTGAAGTTGTGCTCTGATAAAAATTTGACAGCCATATCAATAACGAGGTTAAAAAACATTGAAAAACCTAAATATTTTTAAAAAAATATTGTACCCGATTTCCTTTGGACCATCTATGTATGGGATACGTGTTTCGAATGATTTTAACGTTTTATGAGCAGTAAATGTTGAGGAATAACATTATCAATGATATTTCATGCTACATAGGAGTGCTGACTACGAGACTGGTGATACAATCGGAGACGAAACGTTTAATCAGTAGTGGCATAGTGTTTGTAAAAACTTATCAAATATACCATGCTTATAATTAGTACGTCAGCCACGTCTACATGCGAATTATCAAAGAGATTCGAAAGATATCGAAGGAATATTCACACTCATAAATCGAAAACAAACTGGTACTAAGCAGGTAAGCGCCAATTACGAAGCAGGAGATGCCTACTATCTCGATGCACATTTCTTGTTCCTTTTTGCGGTTCCCTCACTTGTTTGTTGGTTTGGTTTATCCAATGAAATTTAAACATCCATAAACTACTCTTGTTAATGTTTAAAATAAAAGGTCAAGGTTACAGTAATTGATAGACTGAAATTTAGTAAAATGTATGTTTTTGAACAATTTGACGTAAATAATCAGTAGACTTTACAGTCTTCATTTTACTCAGCACAAAAATCTGATTCGTCTGCTACAAGTACATTCAGATCGAAACGCAGCTTATGTACCCATGGTGCTTCTGTAATTTGTTGAATATTAGCACATCTCTTAATGATAATGATGGACATTAACACTGCTACCATATTCAGTTGTTCAAAATCAGCTATTGTCTTCACATCAAACACTATCTGGCCAGAATCTTCAAGGGAAAAAGGAAAACTATAGTTGATCACTTAAATTCCAAACTAAAAATGTCCCTTAAGAGAGTGGAAACAGGTTGATCATTAGTACAACGCGATGATTATTCAATAACTACTGAAAAGTTCTTGCATAATGATTCCCTTCATTAGTTTTCAATTAGATTGTGTTTATTTTATTTTGGCAGTATGCATTTTTCTTGTAAATCAAAACAAATAAATGCTTTAAACTATCATTTTAGACATATTGCGATCTTCATTGGTTTTAATGAAATTAAATTGAAAACAAGTGCCTTTCCAAGAATTGAAAATATTGAAAGATGGATGAAATCAAACTCCTGCGATAAAATACCTACGACAATAAAGATTCCCGAGTTAATTATGGGTACAACTGTATTTGTTCTGTCAAGCACAGATGGGGAATCAAAACCAGTGTTTCTGTATGACGACAAACACATCATCAAAACAAAGACGGAAACATTCACATCTCCTTCAACAGGAAAAGAAAAACTGTTATGCCGCCGCAGTGCCAGTCAATCAAAAGGAGAACCAGTATTCGTTGTCTGTGTATTAAAAACTGATGAAAAGGGACAGTTAACAAAACAGGTTAGATCTTATCAAATGTTATTAACCTTTGAATTAGTTTCCACTAGTTTTAACCTCATATGGTAAACGATCGTTTTACTTTTGATTTATGTATACATTTTTACAATATTTGTGTCAATAATTACATGGTAAATGTCATTTTCAGAATCAGCTAACAAACTGTTTTGAAATTTTTGTGTAAATAATGCTATTTGTTACCGCTACATGCAACATTGCAGGACATCTTTCTTGTAATAATTTCAACAAAACATTCGATGATCGACCGTTCTTTGAAGTTAATATACCTATAACAAACGTAGTAAAACAGGGAATATTTGACATAGATTATGCTCCTGCCATAGTAAATTGTTATGATTTTGTTTTTTAAAGCTTCATAATTTTTGTTTTGCAAAGAAAACCAAAGGTCAATAATGTGAATGTTAATAATACAGTAATGTACATGATAAGTGCAATATTCAGTTAAAAACTGTTGGTGGTGAATGTGGAACTGACGGAAAGTAATCATAAATATATTTTCACACCACAGTGTGTGTAATGACAAAGGTAAACTAATAGACTTTTGTTACATCCTGTCATTTATAAAAAGTTAAAAGACAAATTCCTGAAGCTATACACCTCTTAGTATACATATAAAGCAATATCATACATTGTTTAGAATTCTAGGTTGAAAACTATAGGAGGGGTTAGACGGACAATCTATGTTCCTGATGAATAATTTCCCTATGAATGACGAAGTTCAACATCCTGTTTTTTTATGTTTGAAGAAAATCCATATTCTGATAATACGCTCACCATTAGTAAATATAATTACACCCGGATTGATATGACAATTCTACCTTAAAAATTAAAGGGAGAGCTAGCTGGACAAACCGTATACCTTCTGTGGAACGGACGGAAGGAAAGACGGACAGGGGTACAATAATATGGCCCGGTCATTTTGTCGCGAGGGCATGATGAATAGAATAGAAATAAACACACAAATGACGGTCACAACATTACACTTCGATACTGGCATGAAAATACTAATATTGTGTTAATAAAATTTGCTGTTACAAAATATTCAAAATTATTTTAAATAAAGGAAAATATCTCCCTCATGCATAAGATACATTGCTTAGCTGTGGCATACTTTTGGTACCTTTTGGTATAAGCTCTTCATCTTTTTAAAAATTGGGATTTTCAAACATTTGAGGTCGAGCCTCACTGAAGAGATATTTATAATCGAAATGCCTGTCTTGTGCAGAAAAAAATGGTACCGTTGATGTTATCATTGTCTGACATCATTTCTTGCGTCCTCTTAAAAGAGAGACGAAAGATACCAAAGATACCAAAGAGACATTCAACAGCATTTGTTTTCACTGATTGACAATATATATATTTATGTTATATAACATAATTGTGATTACAATCAGATACAACTGATAATAGTGACAGACTGCACGTTAAATAATTGCAGCTATTTTGTTTACTTCAGGATTTTACTCTGGTTGACTTATCAAACGAAATTACAGAGGATTGTGCAGACATACTATACATCATTCCAAAATCACAAAACAACCAACACGACACACGTAGAATTGTAAGCCAAACAATAAAAGAGCGACTTCAGACAACGCCACATGCTTTATACTGCAATGTTTTCTTTGAAGAGGATTCTGATATCAGGAAGAGAATTGCTCTGTTTGCTGAACAGCGAGTTAACAAAGCTGTTCGAGAGCACAACCGTACCCTTTCATTAATGCACATAGAAAAGCCATTGAACGGAAAAGATGCAAATACAAATTTGTATGATTATGCACAAAAAATTAAGAAACTTGAATCTTTTTTCACGAAAGACACAACAGACCACTACTTATACCACAAACTTGAAGTCTTGCTTCAAAGGTATTTTAGTATATTATGAAAACATAAAAATAAAAATAGTAATGCCAACTATTGTGATCATTAAATAAATGATATGTAAATATACAAATAAATAAATAAATTCTGAAACTGAAATATACGCTTGATAATACAAGTTTGTGAAAGATTATTACTTCCCTGAACATGACTAAAATATGTCTTCTAGTATGATGTAAGGATAAACGATATGTTAAATTTTACCGCTCTCACATATATTTACCGCTTTTACAAATATTTCTGTTCCGAAACATACATACTTGTTATCTTTTACAACTTTTCGACATAATCATTTCAATGAAGTATGACTGTAATTTTGCAATTCTTATATTGTAAAGTGATACAAAAATATCAACTTTCTCTGTTTTAAGTATATGTGACTTGTGTACAGGAAATTAAATATAATTTTAAAATAGGATAATGTCATTTTGATCAGTTTTGATCAAGTAGTTTTTTCAACGTGTCAGTGTGCTTTTCCAATAATTGACTAGTAAGTAAGATATTAGAAAAAAGAGAAAAATAACTAGTTGTGTTTACCAATCGAAACTGCAATTGTATTTCAACTGTTCTTTTGTACTTTGATATTATAAACGTGAGATATTTTGTAATTGTCAATGAGACAGTAACGTAAATATAAATAAAAAACATTTTATATTTGAAAGGGAAAACATAAAACAATAATTATACATCGTTTTGCAGAAATAAAGATGTCTCAGCATTTTCATTAAATGACGGACAGATGCAAATTTTTACCATAGAAGAGGAATCCGTTCGTCGTTATATTAGGGAATTTTGTCCGAAAGACATTTGTGACTTTACCTTAAAACCATGGGCAGGTAAACCAAAAGTAGCCAACTATAATTTAAAACAAGGCAGCAAAATCAATAGAACAACGGATCACAGTCAGAATTATGGAACCCTAGGCTTTTTCGTACGTGACAGCGAGGGATGTATTTACTTTACGACATGCGCACATGTAATTTCACAACATACTGACGCCTACACCGACACAACTCAATCCGCAGTTGGAAAAAGTGTATTTGCTACTGATCTGTCGAGTGCCTCAATTACCGAAAGTCTCGACTTGTCACTGGTAAAGGTTTACGAAGAAAAGGTTGAAGATTGTCGATTTGGATTGCGAGATGCTAGGGACAGGTTTGTAACTGGAACAGTTACACTTGCACACGACAGTGAAATGAAAAACATGGAAGTATATAAATGGGGAGCAAAATCAAGTTTGACCACAGGAACTTATAAAGGATCAATTTTTGTGAAGGAGGGTGAGGAATTTAAAAATCGTATACACTTTATACAAAGTAATCCAAGAAATGCGGAGTTTGCAGAAGAAGGCGATAGCGGTTCTTTGATTTGTTTTGAAGCGACGGATTCACCACAACTACCTGGAGAATCAGCAGCCTTTATTTTTGTTGGGAAGTGCTTAAGTGGCAAAGAATGTTTTCCCGAAGATTTTAAAGAAAACGACATTTTCGCAGGGCTTGGCTATCATGTAAACGATGTCTTTGAGTGCAAAGTCCGTAATCTAAATCCTATGCTTACACCACGGAATGACAATGGCTCTGTTCAACAAGGAACTGGAATACAGAATTAATCTAAAGACAAATTTGTTTGAATATAACTTTTTCTACTTATAAATCTGAAACATTCAAAACAAGGTTAAAAGACGATTATTTTCAGACTAGTTTAGCGCAACACCATTACACATAACCTCATTACACTGAAAGATCACATGGTGACATTATTTTAATCATACAAATTTGAAACTCATTTGATAAATATTTTTTTTTTTAACAGTTTTTATTTATGACCTGTTCTATTTATTTTGGCAAATATCCGACTTTTATTGGAGATTTTTATATACAAACGTCGTCTTCTTAATCTCCAGAAATCAAATATTTGACCTGTAGAAAAATAATAACATATTCCCATAAATAGCATGACTGTAGTTAATGCCTTGTTTTGATGGTCAAGTTTCTTGTGAAACATATCCATAACTGGTGAATATTTTCAATGTCAACGTTTAATAGCGTTTGTGAAATTCAAGTCTCACCTTAGTCGTAAGGTATGTAAAATTTTTTTGTCTTTTCAATAATTTTTAATGTTTCGTTGATAAATATAGATATTTCGATTTCACTTTGTGACACAGACGCATGCACATGTTAACATAGTGGAGAAATTCTATGAGGTATACACGGTCGCCAATGAGACAACAATAGAAGAAAACAAACTAAAAGGCCAGATGAGCATAGAAATATTTCAATAGAATGGATACAATGTAAGAATAATATTTGTTTTGAGAGGAAACTGTGTGATCATATCAGTCGTTGTGCTGACCACTTCTGTTTTTGCCTGATATTTATACAAAACAATGGAGTACAGGATCCGCAAAAAAGCTCAAACATATCGATCTATTATAGTTTTTAAGAAGAAGAAAAATAGCAATCATAAAACACTGACAGAAGTTGTACTGAGATCATATGGACGTATTTGTAAATCTTTTTTGCGTTTAACTTTTCAGATGTTTGCTCTATATATTATAGTTTCAAGTTCCAAGGTAAACATGAAATAGAGTTAATTTCAGGGAAGTTTTTCCTATAAGGTAACACATGGAGATAATAGTACAAAAAAATTAATAATCAAAGATACATGCTTGTTCAAATCGAACAGTTTTCAGTGTTTCGTTTTTATAATGAGTTCTTTTAAATTAGAGCAGCTCTCATTTGCATTGTCTGACATTTTATTTGAAAACGTATAATTCATTAAAAGGATAACACTAATTAACAAAAACGTTGAACATCTAATCAGAACCATCAAACCGCTAACAACTGATTATTCTGAAGAAAAGCTGTATATTCTAATGCACTATTCAACAAATAACACATATCCCATAGTAACAAGGCCTGAAACGGTCACAAAATGTGTTGGTTTATACCAATGTACGTGCGCCCAAACTTTCCTATTACATATCTAAATCAAAGATATTGTTATAATAAAAATAAACAATAAACAACCTGAACAGTCAAGCTACCAACTAGATTGGAATTGCATATGAAATATAAAAAAAGACAGCACATACTTATTTGGAATGCAGGATCAAACTGTCCTCGCATCTACCCGAAGCTAGCTAGTTGAGTGACAGGTTTAAGTTAAACAATGTGGCTCCGGAAAGCTAAAAGCATATCAAACACAGTATTGCTAACAATTGAAATATAATCATGAGTTTAAATTGAAATAAGTCATATTTATGAAAGGCATGTACGTATTTAAACGTATTGAATACTATCAACAGACGAAGCCTTTAAACAAAATTACCAGGTTTAATCCACCATTGCACCAAGAAAATGGCTGTATCAATTCAGGAATATGACAGTTATCCATTTGCTTGATGTGTTTGAGGTTTTGATTTTGCCATTTGCTTGGGGACTTTCCGATTTTCTGCGGAGTTCGGTATTTTTGTTATTTTACTTTTCACCAAGTTCTAAATAAGCAAGTCGTACTTACAATGACAATATAAAAGATCTGTCTATATTTTTTATCACGTATTTAGCCTATTCACTGATCAAAACATATTAAAATTGCCTCTGTAAGACGTAGATTGAATACTTACCGCAAACAAACAAATTATTATGTGCTGCCTTGTGTGTTCTAACTACTCAACTTAGTGCTTGACATTTTTTGTTTAGATCTTACTTTTATTTCTAAGAGCCTTCAATTTACAATCTGTACATGCATAGTTATCTTCACATTAATGTATGCATTTGTCAACAATATTCATTTTATACTTTCCGAATGATTAAAATTGTGTTTATTGACATGACGGTCCTTTAAGAAGAAAAATGTCAACCTCTTGGTTTGGATTAATATCAACATTACCTCTAACGAAAAGAAGCGTTTGCAGAAATTTGACGGGTTCGAACAGTTAAACATTTTGGACAGTTTTTATTAATATTTACGTATCAATTTGGAGACCGGTAAAAATAATTTAAAAAGACATAAGGAGATGTGGTATAATTGCCAATTAGACAGCTATCCACCAAAGTTGAAATGAAGTGGATGCATGCAATTATAGACAATCCTACTGCCTTCAACAATGAAAAACTCATACCATAATGTCGGATATTAAAGGCTCCGACATGAAAAATATAATACAATTCGATAGAGAAAACAAACGGCATAATTCATAACATATTTTTTTACTTTTACGAAAACAAATTTGAAAGAGATGAACCAGACAACCACTGAACTACAGGCTCTCGACTTGGGACAGCCATATAAAGAATGTGGCGGGGTTAAACATATTTGAAGGCGCCATCTCTCCCCTTACCTGGGTTAGTGGTGTAACAGTACGATATAAGACCAAACTATAAAGATCAAGCAGATTCAAGAAAAGCATCTTACTAAAAATACAAAACGGACGTAGCAGGGAACTAATACATCTCTCACAGCATGCAAGACACAAAGTACAGATATGAGAGTACTCGCAGTTACTGACATCTATATAGTTCAAATTCAATAGCAACTTATAAAATATAATATATCTAAGACTAAAAAATCAATCAGACACATCCAACATCCAATGGACTTAGTTTAAAGACATCAGTAACAGTCAGAGAAAAACGACCTTGTGCAATGTCAAAATATAGGTATCGACAGATCGCAGTACAGTGAATGTGCATATGTGTATATCACTAATATTTGGTATGGTTTTATTTTAGTTTATTGATAACAAAAAATAAATATTTATATCAATAAAAACAATATTCGACGATCTAAGCACATTGTTGGTAACCTCTTAGAATACGTTTCATAAAGGATTGATAATTTTACCCGGATTGTATCTAGAAATGTTTAGAAATTCTTACCTTTATTGATTATTTCAATTTTAAAAAATAAATTAAGAAAAAGTGAAAATATCTATGGGACTATAAAGACTAATACGTCAGAGAGAAACTGACAACGCCATGGCAAAAAACGAAATACGAGACAAAAAACAAACAAAAAACGCTACATATAAAAATGAAGACTGAATGACACGAACCCTACCAAAACCACACTAAAACACTTCAACAATGTATTTAAGTGCGTCATGTCTGAACCTAAAATGGTTAAATGACAGTTAAAGAGTTACATAGACTACTAAGTGCAAACAAGAAGGAGAAATAACTCTTATACGAGGTGGTAACGAACACTTTGGGTATCAATTGCATCAATCCGATAGAAGATATATCAATTCCCGTTAAAGGAAGATCAAACATATGCTAACAGATTTTCCGATCGAACATATGTGGGCTAGATTGCAGATGGAGTATTTATAGATGTGTCCCAAGTCAGGAACCTCTGGCCTTTGCCCGTCTTGTACTTGTATGTTTTTTTTTTAATTTGGTCTATTTATGTGTTTCGGAGTTGAGTGTGACGTTTATTTTCGCTGAACTAGTATACATTAATATTTATTGGTCAGCTGAGGCCCGCCTCCAGCTGTGGGATTTTCTCGCTGTGATGAAAACCATTGATGGCCTTGGGCTGTATTCTGTTGATTAGTCGGGTTGTTGTCTCTTTGATGCATTCCCCGTATCCATTCTCAATTTTATGATGTTTTCCCTTTATAACTATAGCTTATCCAACGGAGAACGTCTGTTATTTCATATATAAAAGTATATACAAAAATCTTTTAATGCTATTGCATGGTAAGACAATTCATCATCCTTAATGACAGACAAAAACAGCTGTCCTGCAATGTGTGCTATCCACTTGCCACTATACATCATGTACTGTGTTACAATTCTAAAAAAAAAAAAACAACGAGAAAAGGTATAACTCGACTAACCAAATCTACATCAATGCAGGCGATGTTATCACGATGTTAAATAAGCGTAGGTACAAATCGTGCTGAGGTAAAAACAAAAAAAAAGCTAAAGCAAATTTGCAGATCCTACATTGTTGGGGTAAATTTCAGATATAGACAAAGTATATATAAATGGACTTAAAATAATTTTTATTTCCGTATTTCCGTGGGAAACTTTATGTCACAAATGTGGGAAAAACGTCAAAAGACAAAATACACGACGAAATTCTGAAAACATTTAACAATATACCTGTCTTTGTGATTAGATTAAATAAGTTTACCTTTTCTAATTTTCTGTACCAGTATTTGATAAAGACTATTTTATTATTGAATAACGATTGATTAAGAATGATCAAGAAACATCACATTATATATTATCACATAAACATACTAAATACTAAAACATACCATAACTGCTTCTGTACAATACAGTAGCATCAAAGAATCATATTAGTTCAAATCACTTACTTCCATGGAAATTCAAAATTAATTGTCGGAGATTTTGTTTTAAACCAATGTCACAATGAACAATCCAAATATTAAAAAAAAGAAATAAAAAATGTTTTATTCATAATTATCAAATTAAAATGGGTAACGTTTATGTTGTTAATACTGATAGATATGGAACACGATTTAAAAATTAATCAAACAACACTATTACTATTCGAAAGAGTCGGTAGTTAGTCGTTTTTGTACTGTCCAGTATTTAGGGAGGATTTCTGTTATCCGTGTCAGGTATTATGTAACCTTTGTCAATGTGCTGAAACATCAAATAGAAATAACCAAAATGACAAATCCAAAACTTGCTTTCCTCGTAAACGACTAAACAACAAGAAAAGTTGTGGAATTACGTCTTTTTATTTCCTTTATGCGACTAATACTTTAATAGTTAGGTCCTACAATCGTGTTACATCTTGTTTAACTCCAACAAATAAATGATTAGAATACAAAATTCTTACATTCATGAAAATCAATGATGCCGCTGCAAGAATTCGAACCAGCTTTTAACTTATCATTTCAAAAGAAATATCACAATCGCAACAAGGGATTACCAAAAAGGTTCAATTTCTAACATTTAAACTGTACCTATATATGTCGTAAATTCAAAATTATTTTCTTGATAACTACTCGTTGCTTCTTGTAAATGTAATGCTTTGTGAGTAGTGCTTATTATTTTTAATTTTTGACGTGTGTAAGATTGACTATGAACTAACTCCAGAATGACTAACGGTAGATCTTTAGGGCGGAGTTGTTCATAGAAGATAAGAAAGAGAATATTCTGACCATCTCTAGAATATATACTTTGCATTCTTGCCATATTAAATTCAAACATGCAATAGTACGAATCTAGAAACGATCGCATTAATATGCATATTGTTCTCTTACTTTGGTGAATTCCGTCGGTAATATTTTGTGTAATTTTTTCTCCTGCAATAAAGTCCCGCTGATGTACACATAGTGTCATGTTGTCATCACGTTCTAAGTTTGGTATAACTTCATTTACAATAAAGTCGGTTTCGTCATTTGCATATGATATGAACGCATCGTATTTGTAAGTAGAGCTAGGTTTAATACCTTTCAATACGTTATATTTATGTCTGGTCATATAATACAAATAACGTAGTCTCCAATGATATCTAAACAATAACCCAGCAAAAAGTATAACACAAGTTAGAATTATCCCCATAGTTATAAAAATGATTTACGTAGAATACGAACTACACTCCTTTTCAAGTTGTTTTACTATTTCATCAACATTTGTCATATGAACTAAGTCATTGTTATCAAACTGGCACGTGTATTGATCCGTGTTTACGAGCAAACCCAAATTAACATCCACCCATTGTAAAAATATGAGATTTTGACAGCTACATTTCAATAGATTATTTGAATGGTCAATTGTCAAGTTGGATTTTTTTGAGAGTTTGTATAATGTATCCATTGATATTTGTGAAGTTATACCACTGATGTTATTGTATGATAAATCAAGTCTTTCTAAATTAACAAGATGAGAAAGATCGATAGTAACATCCGTAAACTTGTTGTGGCTTAGATTTATTTTTACTACATAAACATGTCCGTGAAATATATTAACTGATAAATCCTGATAAAGGTTGAGAGATAAATCAATTTCTCTGAGTTCAGTTTTACTAGAGTTTGTGTATCTTTTAGATGAAAGGTATGCACCTAGCGAGTTGTTCCGTAAGTGTAACATTGACAAGTACGGCATTCCGCAATAGAAAGTAGATAGTTTATTATTTGAAAAAATCGCAGGCTCTTAAAGAAGGAGGCATCATGAAAAGCTTAGTGTTCCCTATAGCTTCTACAAGACTATTGTTGTTTGCATATAATTTCTCTATTTTTGTTGATTTCAAGAAAAATGTTAAATATCCTGGTTTAAATATATATACAAAGGGTAAAGAGTTTGTGATTTTCAAACCTCGCAATTCTTTAAAGAATGACAATTCTGCCATTAGACTATACATACTATCATGATCATAATCAGATAATTCGTTATGAGAAATGTCTAAATATCTGAAGTTTTTTTCTATTTGGTAATGTACCACGGTCGTATTTCTGTATCCAACAGGTTTGCATTTCGATATATTTTAGGTAAGGAAGGTTTGTAAACGTTATGTTGGTTAAATGATGTAAAACACAAAAACCGGTTTTCAATCGTTTAAGATGCGTTAATGTCCTATATTCTTCTGGAAATTGGAAGAATTGAAATCGTGGTCTTGCATCTACTTCTATACTATATAATCGTACTAGATGTGAAAGTAAAACAGCCGGGAAAGTGTAAAACAAGTAACCTTCTCTAAACAACAAATTGTACGTTACATTCAAATATGTTAACGAAACTAATGGTTTGAAAATATTATTTGGCATTTTTAAACTGTAGTTTAAATAATTCCCGTTAAGAAATAATTTCTGAAGACTTTGGAGACCATCAAAAGTTCCTTCTTGTAGATATACAAGTCGGTTCCAAGATAAATTTAACTCAAATAGATTACTCGTGTTATTGAATGTTGTTGTCGGAATTCTTTCTATCATATTAAATGAAAGTAAAATTGTATGTACTTCTTTCGGAAAATGAGGAATGCTGTTACCAGTAATGTTTTTATGATCACAAGAAACTTTCAGTCTTGAATTATGGCATTTACATCAAATGTACAAATATATTTCGTAGATGTTCTGGTGTATACAACCGATATAAAGTATATAATACAGAATGAAGTAAGGTATACCTTTGGTATAGTCATGATGTCAATTAAAACAGCAAAAATCCTAAAAATGTAAAAGATATATTTCTATGCAATATATATTCAAAAATTATTATAGTTATTCTATTAAAAAAACAATAAACAATAAAACAAAAACAACAATAACAACAACAGCAATAATAATAATGATGAATAATAGATATTAGATAACAATCATTTAGCAAAAAAAAAAAAATCGTTATACTTATCGAATCTTAGTATTAGTTTTTAAAAGCGAGGATATTTGAATAAGTTTTTTGTCGAACTGAAGCTCCCAAAAGTTACTTTTATAAAAAACATCATCTAGTCATAATCCAATATCTAGCTGAAGTTTCCATGGCGTCGTGCTAACTGAAACCAGTACCGTGTGACAAAAAGTGATATGATATATGCACCAATGAAATAGTAACTTAAGGACAAAGTTAACCTTAACACAGGCCAAAGATATGTAAAAAGGTAAGCATACAGTCAACAATATACATATATGTTTCGAATATACCAAGCTAAAAACTTCAAAGTCAATTAAAGTTGTGCATTATTTCTCCAGTAACAGTCAAAGATATTTCACAAATACCCAACAGCATGTTTTTCATATACGTAAGCACACTAAGATATGACATACTACAACTACTGACGAGTTTTCTGCCTTTAAAAAATTCACATGAATATATATATATTGGTTTGGTTAAAAACAAGTTAATGAGATTTATTTTCAACCACACCCCATTTTTGATCTCGGTCCGTAGATAAACAAAAACGCTCATAAAAACAATCACTAACCAGGACAGTTGAGTACTTATAACTGGTAAATGGCGATAAAAAAAACAACAAAAAAAGCAACAGAAATAAAAAAAAAAAAAAAAATGATGGTTTCAAGCGATTTTTTTGATAATTACGGTAGCAGGTTTCTAGCAAATATTTCAATCGAGTTTTATTATTTGAATATATTTACTTGCTACTTTTAATGCTTGAATTCAATCTTCAATTTAAAGTGTTCAACTATTAAACAACGAAAAAACAATTCTTTCAATAGGGATACTTGCAAATAGATAATTGCTTAACATGCTTAAAAAATATTTTAAAAAATTAACCAGTATGAATATGTGATAAGAATATATGTATATATATATATCTTTACCTTTGATAGATTTTAATAACGTTCTAGATCTTTTTGTCTCTTGTAAATGCGAATAGATTACGTAAATTACAATATTTGTATTGTATCGATTTAAAAAGTCCTGAGATAGATTTCCTTGTTTAATTATACTGAATAACCTTTTTCTTTTCTCACGCTTTAATCATGTTAATGTTGACTAGAACATTTACAAACCATAAATATATTTTTCCTACACCGAATAGAAAGAGGAAAATATTATACGGGGGCAGCCAAAGAGTCTTCGAAAACCTAACAACAGAATTGGCAATATAAAAAAAAAAACACTTAAAAAGGAAGTTAAATTCGGCTTCAATTATGACACCTGTCATGTTACGCATGGCAAATTAAAATAAGGTAATGATATGTTTTGGTGATGCTGATTTTTTTTGAAAAGGGTGAAAAATTCAAATACGAAACAAAACATATTTACATTATATAGTTAACCATTATTATAGAAAACCAAATGTATTGTTTCAAAGTCAAGGATAAATTTATAACGAAAAAAGTAAAATAACAAAAGATATCGAACTGCAAGAAAAATCAAATTCACGTGAAGAGCTTAATGACTAAAAAATCATAGTTAATTAATCTAGAGTCAATTTTGCGTGACTGAGTCGAAACCTTAATTTCATATGATGGTGATTTCTTATTTATAACGAAGAATTGTAGAAAGGTATGTTCTGAATAATGCCAGCATCGAATCGCTGAAAACTGAGCTTATTATACCATCGCGGACTTATATTCAACTAGCAGTGATAAAATTAAATTAAAAAAAAACAAAAAAACTTTATAAAAGCGGTTTTCTGGGTTAAATTCACATATAGATATGACTTCAATGAACCGTGTATTTAGAAAAAAATGAAATTATATTTTTTACAAAAAATACCATAGAAGCGTGAAGTGTGAAGAAAAATATAGTCAATTGCAAAATGTTATCTTGGTAACAAACAGAAGTATGTAGTAAGACATTGTTCGAATTTTCGTTATGTTTCTGTGTGCTCTTTGATTACGTACTCTTTCATCTCGATTTTATGGTTTTCATTAAGCTCATGCATGAAAGTTCATTGTTTAGTTGGTGTATAATATCTTATTTGAGATAAAACCAAAAGCTTGACTTAATCATGAAATGAAAAAAAACTGTCATATTCCTGACTTTTTTACAAACATTTTCCGAAAAACATGGTGAATACAGCCTAGTTTTATAGCTAACTGAACCTCCAATTCGTCTGACAGTTGTTTATAGTCCTGCGAAATTGACAAAAATGTGTGAGCAACCAAAACAGATATAATTGGTTAACATGACGCACTATTGTGTGAATGTATTTTTTACGAATGATATCATACTTTCATTGTAAGTTATCTATTGGAAAGAATTTAGTGTGGGGAAAATATCAAAATACCGTGGGATTTGACGCTAGTGTTCTGATACTTAATGAGTAATATGTAGTCCCTCTTTTATATCTCAATAAATGGATGAGAAAAAAGATACACCAAAAAGGCACAATTGAAATCAATTGACAAAATAACTAAATATATATAAATACATAAAACACAGATAATTATAAACACTAAAAAGTGCATTTACATCATATTGTATTTTGATATACCGTATTTTGGAAAAATGTTCGCTTGTGTCTAATTCATAAGATTACAGTATGTATTTAAGGTTTCATAGTCCATTTTAATGTGTAATAAATGCTGTAAAACGTAAAATATCAACACGACGTGAAATATACGGATTTATCGGTATAATTTCTTTATATCGAAATGATTTAGGTTGTATATTAAGTTTAAAAATGTATTTTATTGACAAGAATCACGCATAACAACCAAGACGGGTTATTATAAAAAAAACACAAAAATAATTCTAGATCAACAATTTATACATTAAATATAGTTAATGACTTCCAGAGGAGCATTAATTCCTACATATACACTATACTTGATGTAACTGTTGATCTTGAAATTGATTTTGTGTATTTTATCAAAAATTTAGTAAGATTGTATTAACGGCGTTTTTTGGGAGCATTTTACTCACAAACTAAACATAAGGACACGAAGACTTCATACCATTTGTGACGGCTATGTTTGCGTTAGCATACTAATAAACCCTTTCCAAATAACTTTTAATACTATAATACATTTGATCTGTGTTATTTTGATAATAACAAAAACTCCTTCAACAATTGCATGCTTTATTGGAACGTAATTTGTTAAGTAGCAAAAAGTCAAATAACAATAATAACGAACTCCGAGTGAAAATCGAAACGGAACGTCCATAAGCAAATGGGAAAATCAAATGCTCAAAACACATCAAACGAATGGATAACAACTGTCATATTCCTGACTTGGTACATGCATTTTCTTACGTAGAAAGTAAACTTAACTTTCCGTATCACTATAAAATTATTTTCTGTTTTGCTGACATATGCTTCAATTATTAGTCAAAATCACATGATGTTTTCAAAATCATTGGTGGTTTTTCACGGTTCCTGTAGTTTATGGTTTTTTTTCAAGGATATTTAATTTTAGCCACTCAGACTGAATTTATGATATTACGTTAAAGTAGTTTAGTTTAATCGTTAAAATATAAGTTGTCATATATTGATGTAGCCCACAGAGCCAAGTGGTCTGTTCTTGTCACTTTGCGTTCGTCTTTGTCCGTCGTTTGTCGTCTGTTATCTTCTACAAGGCAGAAATGTTCACAATATTGAGATTTACTTTTGGTTCATTTACAGTAAAACTCTCAGAAGACTTCATATAAGAGTTATTGCCGTTAAATGATAGAGACAAACATTTTGAAATAGCAAAAAAAAAAAAAAAAAACTGATCAGAAAGACAAGACTATTAAATTAATTACATGGCCAAACTCTGAGGACATCTTATCGGATTAATTAACCTGTAATGACAATTTTGTTCCACTTTTTGCCTTTGTCCAATATCTTAAAAACTATAACAGATATATAAAAAGTTACATAAGCATGTTGATCACCAAGACAAGAACTACAAACAAATTAGATGATCGGAATCATCAGTAGACACTTATTGGAGTTTATGCTCTTTATTGACCATTTTTTTTGTTGTTTTTGCCTATTATCTTGAAAACCATAAACGATAAATAAACACTGTAAACAGTAAGAATAAGTAGCGAGACAAAATCAGCAAGAAAGATGTTTTGTCATTAACTCTGTTCTAGTGCACAATGTCGGAGAGAGTCCATTGTTGATAATGTACACATGCTCTTTAGAGTTTCGTTTTGTTTAGGTGTGAATAAATATTTGTTAACATACAACATTCATACTAGTTTTACAAAATCTAGTGTTAGCATCAAAACGCTTTCAAGTTTATGTATATTCTTCAGTTTATAGAAATTAAACTTAAGCTTTCTTTATTTTCGCCCAAAAGACAACATTCCCTTGTTCATCATTTGGATACTCGATGTAAGATTGCTGTTGAACTAACTCAAGGATAACTAATGGCAGATCTTTCGGACGCAGTTGTTCATAGAAGATCAGAAAGAGAATGTTTTGACCATCTCTGGAATATATACTTTCCATTCTTGTCATATTAAATTCAAACATGCAATAGTATGAATCAAGAAATGATCGCGTTAATATGCATATTGTCCTTCTTAT